CGAAGATAAAGTTTCGCACACGAAGGACACGGAAAAAAAACAAAGGACTTTCTTGCGATCCTCTGCTACCAGAGACTGTTAATATCCCAATCCGAATACCCCGAAAAAGTCACGCCATGATGTGCTCACAAAAAGGCGCATGCGCAACCTAAGCGTCGCGTACACCAACCGCGGCCGTCTGACTGTACGGGAAAGACACCAACCAATTTTTCAAACTTATAGAGAATATTAGTCTATTATAAATCTTCCATTGTGCAACGTTCGATACATAAATAGCTCTTTTCTTTACGAAAACATATTACATGGTTATGGAAAACAATTCATCTCTTTCTGTACTAAAATACTGCGAAAAATGTACACTAATAGTCACGAAAAGATGTACAAACGCAGTGGTTTAGGTTGACTAATATCAAACTCACGGCACCTCTGAATTAAGATTAACGTAAGCTGATTAAAGAACAAAAAAGATTCCTGCTACTTTAAAAGCTTCAGTTATTGCTAGCGAACGTCATGTTTTAGGATACCACATGTTGCGTGTCTCTGTGAACATCGCCTAGGTACTTCGCAACGTATTTATGCAAAATTTCACAAAATTTATAAAAAAAAAAATAATAAAATAAAACTAAATCAATTACGAAGACAGGTAGCGCGTTCATTACGGTCATGAAATAGTTATTTTTACTTAGATTCAACAACAGGTCTCTTGTAGAATATTTTTCTAAACACGCAAAAGCATGCAATCAATTTAACACTTACCAAACGCTATGACTTCTTCGAGCTCGAAGACGAGGCGACATTCTTCTCTCCACAATGGCTGTCACTGCTGCTAGAAGATGACGAATGAAAAAAACCCTCTCCATATTCTCGACTGCACAAGCACGACGGAGCACCTTGCTTAATGATGCCTTCTTCAAAACTACCTACCTACCTACCTACTACCGACCGACCGACCTTACCTTACCGACCTACCTACCTTACCTACCTAATTCCTACCGACCTACCTACCGACCTACCTACCTACCTACCGGACCTACCTACCTACCTACCTACCGACCTACCTTACCTTCCGACCCGAGCCTTACCTAACCAGCCTACCTACGAACGACCGACCGACCTTACCTACCTACCTACTTAACCTACCACCTACCTACCTACCTACTCTAGGCAAGGAAAAATTACAATGTGGCAAGAGACGTTCACTTACCTAGGAATGGACATTGACAGGAAGCTAAGTTTGGACCACAACGATTAGTGAGACAACGGAAAAAGCCCTAAAATAGCAGCAACGCCCCTTCCAGATTGATTTGCCGAAACACCAGGGGCCCAGCAGACAAGACGAGTACGAATTTTAAAATGAGTGTGATGCACTCGAAAATGCTCTATGCAGCACCGATTCTGGGCAGACGCTCTCAAAGCAAATAATCTCAGAAGGGAAAAATGCAGTCTGTCCAGAGGAAAGAGCTCTACGCATAACATCGGCGTATAGAACTTGTATCCGGAAGTGCTGTTCTTCTGCTGAGCGAACGTCTCCCTCCTATTGACCTGCTAGCTCTAGAAAGAAGAAGTTTACAACTACTCCCACGAGCAAGAAGCAACGGAAGGCGATGCAACAAGATAAGGGATTAGCGCAATTAAAAAAAGCGAAGAAAACTGATGCGACCGTTGCAAGGAACGTTGGACAGAGAGGAGAGCCGGCAGATGGACTCATAGGTCATCCCGAATATATCCAAATGGATAAAGCCGCAAACACGGTCCTGGACATACCACGAACTCAGGCATTTCACTGGACATGGATGTTTTAAGCATACCTTAAAAGATTCAGCAAGACAGAAACGCGGCTGTATAGCTTTACTGCCAACCAGGAATGGACGACGCCGAAACATACGCTGTTCACATTGCCCGAGATGGGACACGCTAAGGCATCGCATGATATGGAGCTTCGGGTGTTTAATGTCTACACCAAGAAAACATGTGTCACACTTCATGATCTGTAACAAGCGAAGTGACAGCCAATTAGAGAAATATATCACCGCCATTCTCAAGAAGAAGGAAGAAGACAAGAAACCCCAGTCATTAGCTGAACCTGAATAACACTCGAAGTAATACACTGATCACCTTGAAGTAATGGCAATAACTGCGGTTCCAGGTGCGATAACGCCAGAACACAAAGGGTTTGTGTTTTTAGTGGGTAAAAATCGCACCACTGTTGAGGAGTGCAGGGCTCCTCTTCGTCTTTTGTAAGATTACCTACGCTACCTACATACCTACCTACCTTACACTACCTACCTACCTACCTACCTTACCTACCTACCTACCTACTCCTACCTACCTACCTACCTACTACCTACCTACCTACCTACCTACTACCTACCTACCTACCTACCTACCTACCTACCTACCTAGCCTACCTACCTACCTACCTACCTACCTACCTACCTACCTACCACCTACCCTTAGCCTACCTACCTACCTACGTATCCTTACCTAACCTACTACCTACCTACCTACCTACCTAGCCTACCTACCTACCTACCTACCTACCTTTACCTACCTACCTACCTACCTACCTACCTACCTACCTACCTACCTACCTACGCTACCTACCAGCCTACCTACCCTAGCTACCTACCTACCTACCTAACCTACCTACCTACCTACCTTTACCTACCTAAAAGCCTACCTACCCTACCTTTTAACATCTCTTCTCTTTTTTGATTAACATGCAGTGGGTGGAATCCCTACATACAACTCAATGCATGAGCAGCAGTAGCGTATCCAGACTAAGATTAGGGCTATCTCTTCCTGGACAACGCACAAGTACACAAACAGAGAGACTTACCTTGAGCGCTGGCATTTGTACTTTATTATTTAGTAAATAAGATTTGTGTAATTTATAAGCAAATTGAGAATTATGTTAATACGTTTTAGTTTGCCTGTATTTATTGGGCCTCCCAGCTAACCACCAAACACAAGCCATCCTTTTATTTTACTCCAGAATAAAAGTGCTCATAATAGAGAGAATATTGCAAGATTACAAACTTTACTAATCAAAACACCCTTTTGACAACAGACAAACTTTTAGAAATGTTACAAGGTCAACTCACTGCGGGGTAACTTTAAATTTATGACACTTGTATTTCAGTTGAAATGCAGTATTTTCATTTGTTTTAAAAACCGTTAATATATAATTATATTTACTGGGGCCCAAAAATAAATCAATCATGACTTACAGATGGAAATTTCATCCCTAGTTACTAGCCTGTTTGGATCTCTCATCTGCTTCTGAATTTACTGCAATCCGGGTTCACATTACCACACGCCGGGAGACTCCCTAGCATGCCACACCCTGCTCGAAGACTTCATCATTTCAGGATCCGTGGCAAGCCTAGCCGATGATGAGTGCGTGGGCATGGATAGGTTGGAGAAACATTCAGGGTTTTTTTAACTGTGATGTCATTGAGGCCTAATCAGTTGTTTACTATGACACCACGTCGTTATGTCTTCAATTTGTAGCACTGGACACATTTCCAACGGAGGAACAAGCCCTAGAAACAGACATCATAAATGGTTCAATTGTAAGCACAAGAGGATACCCTGAGCCTTTCCAACAACCTCCCTCAAATATTAAATATGATGTAACTAGAACTGAACTTTTAACTGACGTTGTCTTGGCGCCTTAGTTTCGTCTTCGTCGTCGTCATCGACTTCGTCTTTGTCCATCAATTTCTCTCAGATCTCAACCCAAGAACTTAAATGAACTTACTCGTTCAATGCTTAGTTTGTTAACAACTAATTTAAATCTAATTGGATATTTTCCTTGAAATGACATTGACTAAGGTTTTTGGACAGACATTTGGACATTTCATACAGAGCTTTTTACAGTGCATCTACATTATCCAATATCAAAATGTGGTCATCCTTATACAAAATATAATTTTGTTCTCAAGATGTTATCAATAACTTTTGCATAATCTATGAAGATCATACTTCTTTGTAGATTGAATTCTCTTCTCTTTTCAATCAACAGTTGTAACACTAACATATTATGAGAATATAATTTCCCTTTTCTAAATCCTCTGCTCTTTGAGTTATTGCTTTCACTATTTTCTTCACTCTATTATTATTGATTCTAGCATACACTTTATAACTTGTATTCAGCAGACTTATACTTCTATATTTTTTAAATATCGTTCAAATCATAAAGTTTTTAGATTTTAAGAAGCTTCAACAGAAATCAATTGTCAAGAGTTTGAATAAAAATGGCATATTTATCAGAATTTGGGGCATTGTACTCTCTCTTTAGGGAGCGGTTCAAAATATTTAGAGGAAAAATTGGAAGCCTTTTTAGGGAGAAACAATGCATTTCCAAAAAACTGAAAAAACCAAAAAAATACAACTAATAATATTTTGAAAATCATAGAAATAACATAGCAGGTAATACTAATATTGCAAAAGTCTTTAGAAAAAAATTTTATACTTTAATAATTAAGGTGAAGGAAAGATGCACTTTTGCCACATTTTGAAAATTCAGATGTGTTAATGAAAATCTGTCTCATATCATTTTTATAATCCCACTAATCCACTCTTCTAACAAGAAATACAAACACAAATTATTACTTAGTTTTTGAGTAAATTTTGAAAAATTTAAAAGGTTTACATTAAGAATGCCTCCCCTTTAAAATTATAAGATCTGTTTCCAATTCCCATAACTTCAAGTTTGGTCAGATTGATTGATGATAATTATTTTTGCAAAAATCCTACAAGTAGTTTGAGCTCTAGTGCTCCTGTTCCTTAACATTTCTGTTAAAAAGATGAGATCAATTCTTTTTAGAAATAAATAACCTCTACACTCTGTAAACAAATAAAAAAAAATTATACCTACTGTCTGGTTAATAATTTGCAATAATACATTTTATTTAATGTCCAATTTTAATCTATTGTTTTAGAACACATGACTGATAGGATTGGTAATATTTAGAAAAAACAAATTTCCATATATTCTAAATTACATTATTTTATTTCTATTATATTTTAATAAATTATTCATATACAAAATACAAACAGAGTTTGTGCAACATTCATATGCAAACAATGTATGTGCAAATTATTAAAATATCAACAAGTAATACACTACATTAAAAATGCCTGGAAAATTATATTATGGCTGCCACAAAATACAAAATATGTAACACCAAACCTGAGTACTGTCCAGGGAAGTGCTTATCACATAAATAGACTTAATATCACATTTTAGCATTATCAATTGCAAAATTGTACAACTGCATATAAATTCTGTATGTAATCAGACACAGTCCCATCATCAAATAGGGTTTTTACATGCTTTTCCAGTAAACGTTTGTCACTAGAAGAACAACTTGTACATGCAACATAATCAACATCAAAATGATAAATAATTGAAGAAATTCTGTTTCATTTTGTTGGCAACATGCTCACAAAAGCAAATTTCACCAATAATTTCATAACAATAAGTTTTGTTTCCAGTTTTGCTAATTGATTAATTTTGTAACTGGTATTCAGCACATTTGAAATGTGCACTTTAATATCACAGCACTGTAACCAATTAGCATATACGAATAAAGCTCATTTTCACAGATGCACAGAAGCCTGAAACAGGCTCAACTGTATGTTTTGAACATAAAACTGATATTAATTATAAGAAGACTGAAGTTCACAAGCTAGCACACTGTAATATAGCACAGGTTTTTCCAGAATTTTGTCTTTCCCAATATAGCAGCATTCATTTCCACATCACACAATGAGCAAAAGTGAGAGAATGAGGCACATGTTAGGAATCAAATACAGGAAGTTCACTGCACGATATTTCAGTTTGGACCTCACTTAACCCAACATCTTGTATGCATCGCTGATCACTGTTGAGGGGCAGGGTGTGCAACACTTTCTTCCTCCACATCTGCCTCATCATCTGCCCGAGGGCGAGTCCACTTTATCATAGTCTCCGGTGAACGATACAGGAATATTAATTTGGCGAAGAGATCCTCTTCCAAGGCCAGTTCACCACTCTCTCGTACCAAGTAGATATCCAGACATAGCTGCAAGGTGAGATTAATAATTAAAAAAAATTTTTTTTTAAAATTACTCTTGCATATACCTGTATATACATACATGCCCTTATTAATATGCATACATGTAGACAACTAAATATAGATAGACATATTTCATCGTTAGACTTACATACAAATATATACACACAATTATTCTGAGTGTGAAGGTCAAAGAAATTAGAAATCAATGAAAACTAAGAAATTCAATAGAATGAAGGAACACATAATAACAAATATAAATGGTGATAAACTATTAAACTTCTCCTTACCTGATAAAAGTTAAACACAATATTACTAACTTTCCAATTATGTATATTTTACACAGTTAAAGGAAATTTGTTTCAAAGATTACAACACAATAAATATTTAAAATGGAAATAACTTTCTAATCAACTAATTGTTAAACTGACCTGACAAAATAAAGTATCTATTCAATTTTTAAATTTAGTAATAAAAATAATTAACTCTTATTAACAAAATAACAGATTCAAATGAAAATTCCGTTTCTATAGTAATAATATTATGTGTCTATAATCTTTTTGAATAAGTAGAGATACAAATACAAATGCTATACACAAGTTTGTTTTGATTTTGATTTTTTCTGGTGCAATTGGTTTTATGTATGTGCATGCACGTGTTTAGTAAAAAAGGTTTTTTTCAGTTTTTCTCTATTTTTCAGTTCCAATAGTACAATTGAAATGTGACTTTAATAATATTATAGAAAAGTAAAACATTGTCTTAAATGCCAATTTGCATTGAAATATTTGGCAAAACTTTTAAAATTCGTATACTAAAAAACAAATTCAACAAGTACTAAATAATACACAAAAATTAATTTTGAAAAATAATGAATAATTGGAACTCCCAAATAGGTTCACAAGTTAAAAGAACATAAAGTACGAATACAGTCTTGACTGATATACTGAAGACTTTAGTTACAAATTATACATTTACACATTAGTCATGCTCATACAAATTAAGTATGTGTGTCTGTGCGCATGAGGAACTTTGTCAGTAAATTTATTTGACCATGACTAATTTGTAACTAAAATCTTTAAATGACAAGATATATGTATATGTAATTATGTACATATGCATGCATACATGTAGGCATATTATGAATAATGAGTGGACAAACTGATAAATTAACCACTTGATACAAAAATGACTAGGGAACGGATTTTCACATAAATACATATTTTTACTGCATTCTTTTTTTTTTTTTTCCCACCACATCCTGATTGCATTAAAATCATTTTTATTTTATATATTTCTTTATAATTACATATTTTTACACATTTTACCTATTACTTGATATTTTTTTTTTACATTTTAATAGAAGGACACATCAAAATGGAATGTTTCAAATATGAATTTGCAAATAAATGTTTCTGGAATTGCCTTTCTGTGAAAGAAAACAAAGTAAGACTTTGATTCTATGAACTCTGGGCCTTCAATTATACTTTAAATACCATTTGCTCCATGGGAAATGCGTACTTGGAATCAAGAAAGAATGAATACTTGAATATCAGAAGTAAACATAACCACATGCTTTGTTCAGATTTCATAGAGCCCAAACGTAACTACATAGAAACCTGACAGACATTTCTTACAGACTACTGACTTATTGCACTTCCAGCATCCCCTAGAGAACTACACTGCCTTAAGTTAGGAACACAAAATTCAGAATATATTCATAAAATTTCACTCTCTCGAGCTCAATGGGAATACTCATTTGGAATGTGATGCAATCAATCTGTGGCACTTGTTTTCAATAAACTGATTTCAATGACAACATTGGATAAGCACAGTTTTTGAGCTAATTCTTAAATTATTTGTCCCATAAGTGTAGTCCAAGCTATTTCTCCGGAAGTGGCAATGTTCCTCGTCATTCCTTGTGGTCTTCCAACTAAGTGGAAGCCATGAATTACATGTGTGTGCGTGTGTGCATGTTTAAGGGGAGAGGAGGAGCAAGTATGTGGATAAAAAGATTGTTTGCGATTGGAGACTTGTTTTGTAAAGGTACTGCTCTGACATTGATCTTGGATTGATCAGAGAAACCATGGAAAACTACTGATCAAAGAAGCTAGCTCAAGAATTCTCCTCCAGATAGAGGTTGAATACGACTCAACAATTTAGCTAGTGTCAAAATCTGCTGGTGTTGGGCCTCGGACCCTAGGTCCTCCAGGTCAACAATACTGCAAAGGCTCCATAAATAGTTGGATTTAGAAGCAACTTGGTTTCCGAATCCCATTCTCCCTCCCTCTGATCCATCACTGGCTATGCAGGGAGGCTGTTCACATTCTTATCGTAAACACATTGTATATTCTACGTATGTATTTCATTTAAAGTGGTATTGTTTGGAGAAGACTAGAGTTCAAACTGCTATAGAGGTAGAACATTCGTTCAGCAGCAGCAAATCCATTGCAAGGTATGAAAAGCCTTGTGTCGTGTTCGAAAATTTGAAAATGCTCATATGGAGAATTTTAAACACCACCATAAATTTTATATATTTTCTAATTTTTCTTCCATATATTTTTTCACAATAAAGTCCTAATAATGACTAATGATTGTACACAAACACTGAGTAATCACTAAGATGTATAAGTATATATTTATATGCACATGTGTACATTCCAATACATGTCCAAACGCTATCATATTCTTTCATTATTTGCATTTCATACTTATACGTGCACTCTTGATAAGACATATTTCTAACACAGACACTATCTATGTTCAAATTTTTACCAACAGTAATAGCCATCTTCACATACATTCAATCTCTCATTTATTCTTCATCAGTCAGTACTCTTTGACACAAGGTTTTTCATATATTTTTAATATGAAGTTCATAAACCATTACCTTCAATAATTTAGTGCAAAGGAAACTTCAATTATTAACAGAAAAATTATTTTGAAGATTTAAAAATTTGACTAACCAATCATGAATAAAAATTAATCAATCAATAAACAGCAAAAGTTTTAATGGGCAATAGCAACTTACAGTAAATAATAAAAATCTTTTTGCCTTACAGCAGATCATACACTCAAATCTTGAAAAATTAAGACTTCACATGAAAAATGTTTGAGAGCAGTATTATTAAAAAAAAAAAAATAAAATAAAATAAAATAAAATAAAAGTAAATGTAATTGTGATATTCATAAGTAATTTAATAACAACTGTTATATAGATTTTCTTCACTCTGATAATGTAGGCCTACTACTACTAGTAGTCAAAACAATTATTCAAAGCTTTAAATGTGTAATTAATTTGAACATTTTAAAACAATTTTGAAAGACTGGACATTCCAATAGCCACCAATAGTTAAAGTATCCACACAATTTTCTTGTTAGAAATTTCAGCCCTTGGTTGAAACAAATCTATTTTGCAATTCCAAGCATAGTTTGCAAACTTTCCCAACCCTTTCACATTAATACAGCAGATCACCAAAATCTGGATATCAAAATAATGCTTGTGATAAATATATTAATGCTATTTTCCCATTCACACAAGTTTGTTACTTCTGTGCTAGACATAATAATTATGACCTTTGTTCTTTTTCTATTTCTTCTCATATCTAACCAGAGCATTTTTATCTAAAAATGACTTTCCATGTTATGCATCAAAAGGAAGTTTCTCTCTGAATGAGGTATTACCATATTTACCTGAATACAAGTCAATTCTGAATATACGATGACCCCCTAATTTTCAAGAGATTTGATGTTAAAAAAATAAAATCACAAATTGTCTAATTTACCAGAAAATCATCTTGATGAGAATGTTAAAACTTAATATTGCCAGAACTATAACTATTTTCTTGTTTCTAAACTTGTCTTAATAATATTTTTTTGTCACTAATATCTTCATATATATCGTTGTTTCTTTCTTTTTGATCCTTCTTGCATCTGCGCCACCTGTCACCATTTTATCCCCCAATCCCTGAAAATGTTGGCCATTGAATTTGCATTTGTCTTCCAATTAACGCCACTTACATTTTTTTCATGTCATGGACTTCTTTATCAGACTGTAACTTGAAATCTGCAGCGTTTTATGTTCGCAAAAGCGAGTTGTGAACTGTGAACTCGTACCACTTGTTCCTCTATTTCATGAGTAGCGCGCGCGAGAGAGACAGTGGCAAGTTTCCAAGTTCGAAACTTTTTTCCTAAGAAAATATTTTTTATCATTCTGTTCCTGTGGTTACACATAGAAGGCACACTTCTGTTTTTATCTTCTTTTTTCGCTTCATTTCCTCTTTCATTTTCTACCTCAAAACGCAGATATGCGCAAACACATCAAGCAACAAACTGAGAGTTTGCACGGCCTCGACATTCAGCCCCAGTGCAATGTGGAACAAGATCTCAGCAATGACTTTCATTCATTTTCACACGATTTACTTACTCCAATGCCATTCATTTGATTAGTGTTCCCCTCTTTCCCTGCCCATTCAAAACTATTAACATGAATCGAATGGCAAATTTGCAGTGGATGTCAACTGTAAGTCTGCAAATATAATTAGGTCTTATATATATGCGTGGTTTTATTGCCTTTGCTACTAATAGTTTTAACAGCATTTGAGTTCCTTCTTGGCATGAAATGGGGGTAAAATATAAATCCTAACCAACAAGGCTTAATCTGTGAATGTAAGATTATCCCGTAGTATTTGAATGTGAAATTTATGAAAAAAACAAAACCTAGTCTTATATTCAGGTAAATATGTACCTACATAATTGACTAAACTTACAAGAAAGGTACAAGTTGGTAAAAAGAAGAAAAAATCTAAAAATGTATAATTAGATCTTTTGATGCACACATTCAGCAAAACTCACCTTCTCATAGCGAAGCCTTTTCTATAAGTTAAGTGCTGTACAGTGCTTAAGAAGTAGCAAGTAGCTAATGAATAACACTTATACAAACAGACAAAACAATAACAAAGTTGAAACATTATCAACTCCGAAAAACATTTTTATTTACAAACGAAACTACAAAAAAGTCAAAATAATTTTGAAATGCATAATTTACATTAAGCATGAAATACTCAATAAAAAATTAAATTGATAGTGGTCTTTGGCAGTTATAAGTGTTAATGACACATTTCTCAGCCACATCAAAGAAAATTGAAATTTTTGCACCACAAATGAAATCATCTTTTTTTCTCTTCAGGTTATTCCATTTATGGACATAATTTATTGTCCAGTAAGAAGCTCAAATATAACACACCAGTTGAACTCAAAAGCAATGGATTAAATAATATCCATATCCATTTAAAATTTTGTATTTACCACAAATAAAGAAGAAAAAAATTTCCTAATTTGCTAAACTTGCTACTAAAGCTGATATCTACAGCCACGAATCAGGAATCTGAGTTCTCGTTCGAAAAGCAGGCAAACTTGCCTTACCTGCAGAATTCTATCCACATAGGGACAATCGTCAAACATGATTGTGTTCAAGAGTCCCGTGAAATAGCCACGTAATATGTTACTGGCTATGAGAACCATTGTGGTGTACAGACCGATGATTCTGACAAAACAACACAGTATCATTTATACAATGTAAGAACAAGTAGAGTTACTACTTTACCTGAAGAATGTGGTCTACACAAGGCACCTCGGTGAACATTATCCTGTAGGTGGACCCTGAGATTATGCTACGCAGCACACGGCTCGCAACGTAAACGATACCGATGTAACAGGCAATGATGCTATTTAAACACATTAATATCACATGAAATTTAACATTATATAAGACACAATGAACATTATCTTGTTTTAAGATGAAGAAAAAAAATGATCCTGCAAAAATTGTTTATAATCTGTTCAACATGTTTTCATTGAAATTTTGGGAAGTGGGGGAAATGTGTTGAAAAAAATTGTAAGAATCTACCTATATGGTCCAATTAAAAGGAGTAGTATGTCACTGACAATTAGAAAGCACACAAGCATTGCAAAAGGAAACACCAATTCTAACACTGTAGTTGTTAGACGGTAATTCAACTATTTAAGCTTCACAGTTGATTCTTTTGTGAAAGTGTAAATAGCACACTTACTATGTTAAAACTAGGTTTTTAAATTTATTTAATTTCAATAAAATACAAGTATCTTTTTATTTTTGACAATTAATAAGGTTATACGACAAAGAAGTTTCTATATTAAGAGAAGGAAAACTTTGAAATACGTAGATTTCAAAGTCTTACTCCATGTCTGGATATATTTCAAGAACGTATGGTTTATTTAAAGCTCATAAAACAGATTATTCTACGAGATCTGTTGTTTTTGTCTTTTGGCATGCCCCATTATCATTTACACAATTTTCTGATTTCCATACTTAAATTGGTCCTTAGTATCAATAAGCAAAACTGTTCATAACAGTTTTGAACCATCTTCTAAACTCCTAAATTTATCTGTTCCTCCTAATCATGAAATCATATCCCTCAATGTTATTTCTTTGTTCTTAAATATTCGTCATCCTTTCATCATAATCTGCTTTAGAATTTATTATCTCATTTATTATTTATTATCTCTCTAAAATTGAACATTTGAACATTCAGCCTAATAAAATTATATTAATGGTTAGGTGCATTCTTGCCCACATAGAATGATTTTTTTTGGACGAGTTATTTACCATTTATCATTTTTAAAGGAGTTATTTATTATCTGGTAACAGGTTCTCCTATTGGTGGTTCTCTCAGATTTTTTTTGCAGATTTTGAAAAGCAAAGATTAGAAGAATCACTTTTAGCAACTCTTAATCCATTCTTTTATAAAAGATATTTTGATGACCTTTGGATACTTTACATGTTAATAAAATTTTAACTTTTTTAAAAAGTTTTAATTCCTGTAATGAATCAATTCAGTTCACACTAGAGAGAGGTTGACCAATGGACTACTCACTTATTTACATATTTCAATCATGCTAAATAATTCTCAAAAGGAGTGTGCCACTAGTCACATGCTTAACACATAGTCAACTCACACTCTTCATCAAAAAATTAGCATGTGATATCCTCCCTAAAATCAATTATCCTTTTCAGTTTATTCAAAAGTATCACACTAACCAATAAACAAAATGTAGTCTATTATGTAAAAGGTGTGATTGAGGCAAACAAAACATGCTCTGAAGCAAAGGTTAAAGAACATGTTAACAACATCTCAGAGACTGCCACAAAATTGAACACTATTGCTTGACTGTCTTGATTCTGCCGAGTCCTTTAATTTTGATAGCCCTACCGTATTGAATAATGAAGTCAGAAAATATTTGAGGTTAATCTCTAAAACACTACATATAAAACACACATAACCATTGATTCTACATTAGAATCAAATCTTTTCACTAATATTTATGAGTATGTACTTTCTAAATTAAAATAGAAGAAAAATAATTATATATTTTATGATTATTTCTGTTTTTGCAATTTTATTTGTATACTTATGTTTCAATCTGTTCTTTCCCCCTTCCACCTCTAATTTTTCACTTGCTATCATCTTTGTGTAAAACATTTTTATATGTTTTACAATTAAGATACCCAATTAAACATGTTTTTGTTTCTCTCCCATCTATTTTATATTTTGTGCTTATTACTTTTATATTTTTCACCTAAACTCTATTTTTAATGATTTTCATTCTCTTAAAATAGGTTTCTTTGTAACCTCCTTTAAAATTTTTATTCAATATCTTCAAAAAAGTTTGTCATTTTTACCTTCAGATGAAAACCTATCTAATAATTTATGAACACACCTTAAGATCTGTGTAACCAACATGAAAAACATCGTAATTGTGAAATAAAGACTTTTTTTTTTATAAATTTCTCTTTCATTGTCAAAAATAAAAGGATATTTGTGCTTCATTGTTAATTTCATGTAACAACCATAGTCATTTCAAGTTATATATATGGAATGATAATATGTTTCAAGGAATATTGTTTAAGATGTGCATTAGTTTTAAACCTATGATTTCACAATTTGTTAATTAAGAATTCATGATGAATTTTTATTTTATGTACTCTTTGGCTAGTTGTAATGAAAAAAATAGCAGAATGAAATGGAAACTCTTAAAACTGTTGGGAAAATACAAAGATGAAAGTATGATTACAAACCAATTTTGAAAAATCAAATTCAATTTAATTCCAATAATTTATGAGCAAAAGGTGGCCAAAATTCTTAAGCAGGAAAACACATACTGAACACTTGCAATAATTATTGTAATGTTTTTTTTTTTTTATTAATGAATTTAGTGCCAGTCATTTGTGTAAATAAAAGGGAAAATACACTTGAATGAACTTACCCTCCTCCTGATATAATGCTAAGTGTCTCTGGAAAGGCCTTGTCATTGAAAACATACATAACTAGATGATCACAGCTGTACTGAGGCAGATGCTTCAAGATATCGAAGTTTTCTCCACCACACAATTCTGATATACCCCACCATTCTTCTGTTATACCAGTATCCAAAAATGATCCCCGATACAATCTGAGAGTTAACTTACGGAGGGACTTTTCTTCTTCAGCTGTAATCAATAAATCAGACTGCAAAATAATGTCTTACTACAAATAAATATAAATTTCATTCTATTTGTTTTTCAAATTATGTTCAAAAGATTCAGTTAAATAACATAATACACAAAATATAACTATACAAATAAATGTTCTTACTGTCTCCTTTCATTAACTGTGGGACTGGGTGAACAGTATCTCTATTAGTAAATTTAAGAAACTTTGGGAACAAGTGCCCGATTGTTATATTTGTGGCATTTGCATCCATTTTTATTATTTTTATGAATTCTTTTCTTTCAGTCTCATGGGTTTTGTCCATTATCCATTTGGAACTGTCGCTTGCTTTTCCTGTAGAACTTTTACTTGCACTCTTTCTCACTAAATTCCAGCTAAGTTGGAATATTATTTCTTTATCTAAAAATAAATGAGAAACAAAACTACAAATTTATTCATATATCTTTTCAAAATTCTTCATAAATTTCTCTTTCATAAAATTCTCCTAACATTGTGGAAAATACTATATGTAATAAATAAAATTCACTAACTGGACTGAATTTCATCAATAAGACGTAAGCGATCTGGCGGTGATATTGTCCAAATATTAGAAGCATTATGACTGAACTTTGCAACAGCAACATCCTCATAATCATAATTTGAAAAGAATGTCTGTGCTCCTCTATTTGATTTGTAAGTCGTTGTGAGCTGATTCCACTCAGCTTCAGAAAATCTGGAAAAAGAAAGTTGTTGCTTACTACCCATAAACAAAAACTAGTAATTCTACACATCACATTCTTTCTTGCATTATTTATAATGGTTATGCAATATTATAATACTTCAGGTACCAGAATAAAATGTTTTCAACCAGCAAAAATGTTTTTTCTTGGCACAGTACATCAAATTCAGGCTCTTAAAGTGAATACACCAGGCTTGATATCCCAAATATCAATTCCCAGCTATTGATACTGTAGTTTTGCATTGTTAATTTTCTGTTTGCAATTTTTGAAAATACAGAAGTTTTGTCAAATATGGGATCTGTGTAATTTTGTAAGCATAATTTTTAAGAATAATTTTCAAAGAAAAAAAATCACGGAGTAAATCTGGGAACTTTCTTTTTTATTTGGATTAATATCAAGCAAAAGTTGCATAAAAAACAACTAGTTTTTTTTTTAATTGTAAAAATTGTGAAGATCTAACTTTTTAGAACAGTACTTTTGCATTGTTAGTTTTTCACAATTTTTGAAAATATATGGTGTTAACTGAAAATAGGACCTGTGGCATTTTTATATTCTTTGCACCATGCATTGTACATGACCTTATTTAACGATCTACCTTTAAAGAATAGATTTTGTAAGGAAATAACATCTCTATACTCAATAGTGAGGTTGACGGAATATATCAAACAATTTTAGATTTCTCCAATTTTCAATAAGTTGGTGATTTCAATGAAAATGAGACATGTGCAACTTTTTTAAGCTTCCTTTACAATACCTTATGAAATGTAAAAAAAAAAAAAAAAAAAATTTAGACATTCTTGAGAATATTTCGATTTGTTAAAAAAATTATCGAGGCTTCATGTTCAGTACCTCCAAAAATTAAAATATCCATTTCAACCATGCCCAATTCACCCACATCGATAGGGACTATAGATTTTGAAAAAAATGGTTTATGTGCTAGCATTGTGCGCAGATATGGTGCAGTCAGTTCAACAGATCGATAGACACTCACAGACACTCGCTTGTGAAATGGTGGTGAACAACCAGGCTCCAGGTCCAGTAAATATCTTAAACATCGCCCTCAGAGCAGCAATTCAGACTTGCTCCAGTATTTTTAGAGACAAGGAGTGCCTACAAGAGGATGTGTTTCCTGATAAATGGAAGCTGTAGGGACTGATACTACTCCCTAAGGGGAAAGGTCTGGAAGAGGAAGCATTGTCTCACCAGCTTACATGCATGATTCCAGGGAACTGGGGAAGAGCTGGAGCAATTGATATGCAGTCACGAGAAACAAGCGATTGAGAACACAGGAGAAAACCATTACTGGTTTCAAGAAGTGAGATCTACAACAAACACTACTCAATATGTAGATGACTTAGCTTGGAAGGCAATACAAACAAAAGATGGAGAAGGGGTACAAAAAAATACTTTGCTATTGGCACCCTAGATATCAAAGATGCCTTCAACTCAGCAACCTGGAATTGCATTCCAAGAGTTTTGCAGCATATTAGAGTGCTACAGTATCTCATTAGGAATATCTTCAGCCACTTCACAGCCCGAATGCTGTTGTACCACATGGAGGATGGTAAACAGACCCATAGCGTTACTGGAGGCATTCCATAGGACTCCCTCTTCGGCCACTTATTGTGCAACATAATTCGGATCATTATCTCAAGTGCTTAGGAATTATGATTGATGTGAGGCTATGGTTTAGCAATCACTTACAGTACATAAGTGATAAGGCAGCAAATGCAACATTGAGACAAGTGCCGAATGGTGAATGACTAAGAAAGGAGCAGAGACAACTGCTGTCAAATGTCACCACTTCGATCCTGCTATATGCAGCGCCAGTATGGGCAGCAACAATAAATATGGCATTGAACAGGAAGATGCGCTTACTTCTGAACACAGTGTCTGTGTTCAAAGAGAAAGGAAGACCTGACAGGCAATACAAAAGAGACAAGTCCATGATTCAGTGGCAGAGACTCGGGGACAGCTCGCAAAAGGGAACGTGGATACATTGACTCACATATGTAGAAGTATGGGAAGGGTGAATGTATGGAAAGATGGACTTCCATCTAACGCAGTTGCTGACTGGACATGGTTGTTTTCGAAGGTATCTCTTCCACTTTCACCGGAATGAAGACCCTGTGTGCCCTCACTGCTCCCCATGCATTACACTTTCTTTGTCTGTCTCCCGTTCGAAGAAGAGAGGACACACCTCTTCCAGCTACCACACCCCGGAAACATAATGGCATAAGGAAAATGCTGGCTTCTAAGAAGTGGGAAGCAGTGGCAACCTTCCTGGTACAAGTAAGAAAAAAGGAGAGACCTAAGGAGCAGGAGGGAATGATATCCTAGAATGATGCTAAGAGGCTAGGGTGTTGGCAACACATGATTGGATGAATCAACAGTCCTGCCTTTTCAAACGAAATCAGTTGGAATCGTTTGCCTCCAATTACTTTTGTGGTTCACCTTTCTCCCGTTCACGAATTTACAGCTTTAATGTGTCAATGCTTCTGTAAGTATTTAGTCCCTATAATAAAGCATTTATTTTTATACTTTGCATTTGCCTAATGAAAATACTGACAGAGTTCTTTTTCAGCGTACATTGGAAATGCAGGCAAAATGCGGTGGCAATCAATGATTGGTACAGTTGCACCATTTACACCAAGTAAATCGCTCCATCATCCATGTAGTTTTTTGATGTTACATCTTCTACGTGATGATGCTAGTGAATAGTGAATCAACTTCGTAAGACACGAATCGTGAGAGCGAACCTCATGCTTCTATAAAGAATCATTCATGCAACTTCCTAAAGTGTTGCATATTGAACAATTTACCTATAAACTAGGTTATATTATTTAATGTACATTTAAAATTTATAAACCACAAATGAATGCAGTTATGTAAAAGTAACAACTCTCTTCATAAATATTCTATGAGTAATTATACTTCTTCCATGCATTTATTATTTATTTATTTGGAAGGGAACTTCAGATTAATTGGGCAGTTTGACATAAAAGACAATATTACTGATGATTTAAACAATTCAGAAAGACATATTACATTCATTTCTTCCTAAGTGTACTAAAAATTCTGCGATTTATAAAATTGATATTAATGAATAATGTAATTAACATTTTCTCGAGACTTTGAAAGAGTGAACAATTTTAACGATTCAACGAATCAGTCTGAAAAGTAATCATACTACTGGTTTAATCAACAGTTGGGGCCCATCCGAATGCCGTCAATCCTAGGGTGCTCATGGCCCATCCACACCTGTGAAGTAATGCTCAATGGTGGTGCCATAAGAGGGGGGGGGAGTCTCAGAAGGCGCTTTGAGAAAGTTAAAATCTCACAATATCAAGTGGTATGAGCCACATGGTCTCTTTTGAAGATTTTCACTTATCCTTCTAAAAAACACACACACTTGCAGACACGTGCTTGCACACACATGCAAGTATGTTTTGCTGTCAATTGATTTTTCGGTGTCAAGGATCCATAAAACGTGGATTCTGAACATTCCTGTTCGAGGAATTTCTGTGATACATGTTGTAAGAAGTCGGTAGAAGATGATCTTATCTTTTGAATGAGAGTACCATTTCAAAATTCTGAATTTGTAAAATTTCAAAACATGAAGATTTATGCTTGAAGTCAACCATATACTTTTTATAGCCTTCTTTTGTATCGTTTGTCTTGCTTTTCGATTCTGTCTTCACTGACATGTCATGCAATTTCTTTATATAGATTGCAAAAAATGTTAGGGATGCCTTACCCTCAGCCAGATTGTATGGAGTAGTGCCTCAATTTAAAGATTGACCCACTCCCAAAGCTCTCATGCATTGCCACACTACAACGAACCAAAACAACTTACTTGGTTATTGATGGACTTTGAACAGAGACACTATACAATGGTGGATAAGAACTGATGCTTAGAGTCATGCTCATATCATGAGGGAGGTTGGGCATGCCAACTGTGTTGCCCAGAGCAAAAATAACCAACGGGAACCATATGATGCCAATTATGAGAAAAAGGAAGCTTCCACCCATGATGTACTTCACAAGAGCTGCTTTCTTCTGCCCTCTGGGTTGTGGATATTCTTGTTCCATTCGGCGTTCACATTTCAAACCAAAAATATGTGCAAATATATCTTCCATCTTTAACCAATCCCACAAGGTCATTGATGTATCTGTCCAAACCCAGTCCATCAATGCCCGAAGTTCAAATAAGAAAGGTACAAACATGAATCTGAAAGTTAAACAAGTTTTAAGATATTATACAAGAAAGCTAATTCAAGTGACATGAAGTTAAGTGTTATCATAAAATAATAAGACAATTAATAAATTTTTTTCAAAAAGTTAAAAAGACTGATAAAATATGAAAAGAAGTGTTCACAAGCTTCTGTGAATGGAGTCGATACATTCTTGGCTATCTGGAATGTGCCCTAACTCGGTCAATTGGGCTGACGTTTCGGCCATCTTGCTGTGGCCTTCTTCAGAGCTGTACTGCTCAAGCAGTACAGCAGTATAGCTCTGAAGATGTCCACAGCAAGATGGCTGTAACAACAGCCCAATTCGGCACATTCCAAATAGCCAAGAATGTAATACAAAAAGAAACTAGATTTTGAAGTGATTTCGAAGGCAAATGGGTCGTAAATGTCATAAATCTTTTTTTCTCAATAAAAATAGGAATAGTATAAGGTTGTCAGCAATATTGCTGCAAAATTTCTAAATGACAACTAATTTTTATTCTACTCAATATTTTACAAATTTGCAAAATTTAATTCAATTACATGATCAATAATTGTTTTCATTACTTCAAATGGCAAAATGGAAAAAAACACTGTTTTTTCTCGCACAAGTTATTATTTTCAATACTTACCCTTTAAATAAAACCATATTAATGATATTATATCTTTTGCACACAAAATTACCCAATATACGAGTTGGGTAACCACTACGTATTTGATACGCAGATAGTAGAAGGTAAAAGCATTTTACCATGTACCACATTTGTGGTGTTAAAGCTTCTCGGAATGACCTGGAGAACATTGAGAAAATAAGTTAAATATAGTTTGTTTGTTTTTTGTTTTGTTTTTTCCATTAGTTGCTTAATCTCTCTTCAGTGATATACTTATCTTACCTTTCAGTAACACCAGGAAGAACAAAGAAGAGCCAAATATGTACTCCAACGACTAGACAAAACTGGAAGACTAATTTGCCAAGAATGTACTTGCGCAAGAAAAGAGCACGATCTATTACAATTAATGCAAACTGAAGGATTAACATTATTAGGAAAGGAATAGGCACTTTGTTTTCTTCTAGATATGAAAGAACTCCACCATCATCTTCTCTTTGAGGCTGCAAAAATGTTTCAGATACAATAATTCAGCAAAAAGAAACAAACAAAAATGTTTAACAAGTTTTTAAAACAGAGAGTGAATTTTAACTTACTCCAAATGCAGCAAATCCAAAAATAATAACTAAAAAATTGAAAAAGTCACACATAAACATGTATGCATAAACATCAGCTTTCACTTTTTTGGATGGCGACAGTAAATCTTTAAAAAAGATTTTCACTGATTCTCCATACTTTGATGTCCTGTGAAGAATAATTACAAATGCTTTTAATATTGATAGTTGATTACAGTCAATTTGTTAACCTGGGAGTGCTTGCAATAGATCTGAGAGATCCAACCCATGAGAAAGTTATGTTACTGAATAATTGCAATGCATTAATCATCTGATATTTCATGTATTCTCTCATTATACTTTTCTGAGAATGCCTGGCCTTCTATTTTTATCTTTTCGTTGCATCATTTCCTGTGAGCATATTGAAACTTTATCACTGCACAGCACAATCTGTCAGATACATTGCATGCGATGGTACCAATGCATTCTGAGCTCCTGCCATAAGCAGGACGTGTCATGACATTATTCTCAACAGTGTCTATGACAAGTGCCTATTCAGAAAATGAATCATTTGTCTTATCTAGGATCGACTGTCACTATTTCTTACTAAATAGAAAGATGATGTGCAAGGGACGCCTGTAAGGCAATAAAAAAATGTGAACCTTACAAAACGGAAACATGACTGACTTTTTAAAGGTTTCTGAAAAAAATGTAAAATATGTTTGTTTAGGACATGCCAAAATCTTTGTTGGAAATTGTATTTAATATTATTTAATAAGATAATAGATGTTTAATGATTTTCGCACGTTCTTTGTCAAATTTTTCCTTTCTCAACATAAGTATTTAGACACGATTTCTGCAGTGTAGAAATCGTTAACAATGGCATTGGGGGAGATAAACTAAATAAAATACATATTTCAGTAAATAGAGTTTTAGATCATTTGCATTCACAAAAAGTTGCAGCTGTATCTGAAAGGTAAATTGCGGGCACTGGCATAAGTCTATTGTGGGCACTCCTGGGTTAATTTTACTTTTAAAATTTTCTCATAGGAAAGTTAGGCATATAGAAGGAGAAAAAATGGAGTCACTGAAACTGTTTTCTAATGTACATATCTAGTTAAATTAAGTAATAAAAGATTAATTTGATGCAAAAGAACAAAGATTCAGACACTATTATACACATTTTAAAAAAGAATACCATTTACTTAAAAACTTAAGAATTTTTTTTGGTAGAACTTTTACAAAACTGAATGCAGGATATACAGAATCTTTTAATTATTTAGAAATTTACAGCAAATTACTGATCAAACTAAATATATTGCATATAATAATTATTTTGTTAATTTTAATTGATTAACAAACAAAATAATTATTAGAGATTTAATAGGCTTAAAGGGTCTCAAACATAAAAATAACAAAATTTCATATTATTAATGTTCTTATTTTGTAATTTTCTAGAAATAAATTGTTATGGTCATGTAGAGCTAAAGTGAATGATAAACTATAAAGTCATCAAAGAATCCACTGTACACATTTAAATAGCAACACATCATTGTCAAAACAATGAAACAAAATACTTACATCATGGAAAATGCTTTGGGGAAGTGCTGACATAGAGACTGAGCTTGTGCTTTCACCACAACTAGCTGTCCTCCACTTTCCGACACTTCTGCAGGTGGCGACTGTTCATCACCTTCCTCTGCAGGCTGTTCCACCATCAGCAGTTGGCGTCCTGCACGTGTTGCTATTCTGCTTCGCTGAGAGCCAAACCGATGACGCAAATTATTTCCTTCCTCTGTTGTATCCATGTTCTCCGTATGAGAAGAGGGCAGTGTGTTGGATTCTAATCCTTCTTCCATCATAAAATAATGTTCTCCTTCTTCCAGCTGAATTTCATCTTCATTTGTGCTCTTCCAGAGACCCATTGACTTTAGCATGAAGCTTTGCAAGAGAAATCATGAGAACATTTTTAAACAAGAGAACATAGGCAGACTTTCCCGTTAATGCTCAATTTTTAAACTAACTGCTTCATCAAACAAGTGGGGGGGAAATAGATGAATAGTACCTCAAAATCTTCATAACATGAGTTTTGCAGCAAGTTTTAGGTACCAGACTTTTAGCAAGGAAGGAAAATATTAATGATTAAGAATTCCTAGATTAATTTTGATTTACTTTCTAGTAACTTTAGAATAAGAATCACATAATTGGCAGTTTTAGATATGAGATCAAAACAAAGTGCTCACCGATGCAGGAAAATAATCAGCAACAGAACAAGATCATAAACAGCATAATGAGGATCACGCTCAATGCCCAGAATTCGAGGAGGGAAGAAAGGAGATTTCTCAGAAAGACTTTCTTCATGCCATGGCAACAGTTCAAATTGAAACATGCATTTTATCACTACAATCACCTAAAGAAAGAAATAACAAGTTTACATTTATTTTTAAAACTGTATTGTAGGCATTAGTTCAAGAATTTATAAAATACATTAAAAATAAAACTCTACCCCCTCTTTATTGCACAACATGATGTAGATCTTTTATAATATACTCGCTGAACTTGTGCAAAGAGTACACTTTGTAAATCATTTTTTTAATATTGAAACTCACATTACACTAGATCAAAACTTCAAATAATAATCTCAGAACTGTACATAATAGTATTACATGCTTGGTATTGTGCAAGAGAATTTATTTTGTTATTGCTAGGCATTTGATTTTCATTTCACAGAAAATGAAACAGATGCTTTCATTTAATTACCAATTATTACTTCTATTTCATCAATTTCATTTTACATTGATTTTGTGATATATATTTTATCTGACAACTCATGCAATGGAATAGATGCCCATAAGACCTAAGTGTCCAAAAATATAAACAAAAATTCAAAAAGGTCTCATTTTGCACAATACTGCTTAAGTATCTTGGGTCCACCTGACCCCACAAAACACGAAAACTTTGAACCTAGTATTAAGGTACTAAGATGCATTGTTTCTGACTTATGTAATGCAGTATTGTGTTCCTCATATCATAATATCCAAAGTTTTCCCCCTTCAGTGTGTTTGCGCATGTCTGGGGAGAAATTCCCTATCCAGTAGGATAGGAATGCTACAAGAGCACAGTTACAGGATTTTGTGTTGATAGTTTCATATAAATTGCCGAAAACTCATGTATTCTAAGTATATGACAAATGGAGAAGATTAGCATTAAAATGTAGGAAATAATAAACAAAAAATAATATAATTACCTCTGTGTAAGCAATCATGGTGACCCAAAAGGTTTTTGTAGGCCGAGGAACACTTAACGTCCCCCACAAAAATACCATCAATGGCAATGGAAGAGATAAAATAGTTGGTTCACTGACTTGATGCAAAAACACCATGAAGTAGCAAACAGAGTCTGTGTGAGCAATGAACGCAAACCACATTGCTTGCACTAAGTAAATAAAAGCTGGAGTGTCTGATTGCTTCATAAAGTCTCTCTGGTCTATTTCATCCACACTTGGCAAGTGAGATGGACTGCAAAAGGGACAATAAATGCATAAATAACAAATACATAATTATTTATAGTTCCATGCAGATTCATAATGCAACACAAAATCTTGGCTGACTGACAAAAATATTTTCAATATACCATGACAACTACAGATAATTTCAGCAAATTTGTTAAGTCTCTCTTAATAATACAGCATTTTATTAAGCAATTTAAAGCACTGTAGAAGGGTAGAGGTAAAAATGTCCTCAGTAAAATATTCAGAAACAAATGCCCATAAACAAAAATGCCCACTACACAAAGGTCCCTGGAATTTAAATATTTGTAACTAAAGTATCCTCTTAAATTTGCAGCAAAAATGGACATTCTACAATGTCTCCCATTAGCAAAAATTTCCTAGTTACAGAAAACTTTATTAGACTTCTTGATCTTCATTTTCTGGTAGTTTACACATTTTCAAATGCAATGTCGTTGCACAAATAATAAAAATAATAATATGATTTTATTGTTAACTTGTAATGTGCTATAACTTCTCACTATTGTCTTAAAATTTATGTGTCCTGCTTGAATTAGAAAATATAAGGTTTTCTTTTAAATTTTTGGAGGCTGAAGAAATCTCTAAATGTAAAATTGATGAACAGTTTTGATGAGCACAGCGATCTTATAAAATTTGCTGTGAAAATTTTCAACAGCACTATTTATTTTCCACTTGCCTTGTAATTAGTAAAATATGCTTCTAAAATTGGTTCAATTCTTCTTATACCTTGAGCAAGCAGGTTCTAATCTTACAAATAGAATTGTTACCATCTTTAAAGAAGTATATTTATGGACATCATTTTTGTAGTTGTTATTGTTTCTTGAGGAATTTTTGTGGTAATTTTCTCACATAAAAATTGTTTAGAGTTCCTTTATAACTATATCTTCCAGTAATAAGAGATATCTGTATAAAATTCATAGGTTTTTGCAACATCTAAAAATTTGTTTAAAAAATAAAATGAATATTTGTCATTACAACTTTGTTAATAATTGGATCCATTTCGGCTCTACATTTTAAACTCTCTATTCCATCATTTTGTAAATAAACTGACATTACATTTCTGTAAATATGTTCAAAGCATCACTAAGATATCTTTGGCTACTGGACGACTTCCTCTCAGTGTTTTGTAAGGGAAGTTCATATTTAGGAAACTGAATTTATTGTAATATAAAAACCAAAATATATATGTACACAGTTATTTATTTTTTAAAGTGCTAAGAAAAAATAGAAATTAATAAAATAAAAGTTTATTATAGTGATTAAAATTGCTTTTTAAAATAATCAAATTTCCATGCAAAAAAAGAAGGTTGCCGATCATGTCTTTCTATTCAGAGTAGCTGATCAAGTACGAACTCTACTGAAGTAATTGCACACTCAATTTCACCGATATATGATTTTCATTTGTAGTATAAACAATGTTGTTTATGAGGAGCTGGTGCTCGAGTGCATAGTAAAATTGTACAGCCAAGGATTGTTTCCAGAGAGGGTGTGTTCAAGACAATATAGCACCATAACAATTTAATTGAATCAGAATATGTTGCAAACTCCATACAATAATATTTAATGCAGATATCTTATGTCTGTATATTTACTTGAAAATCTGATCCCTACTCACAACTGATCACTTCACCATTTGTAAGGCAGCACTCTCTTGCAATACCTTACATCAACAACACTGTTCTGGACATGGGAACAGCTCTGAGAATTGCTTGATGGCCATTTTTTTAAATAGAAAGGAGACCTCTTTTACATTATTCTTTATTAAAAGTACAAAGTGTTTTTAAACATTTGTACTTGTAAATATTATTCAATAATAAACCAGACATTTAAAAATGTATTTGACATTTAATATTAACATGTATTTAAAGTTTAAACATTTTGAAGAAAAAAAAATCTTTAGATGTACACGAGAGAGAACTCTTGCCCTCTCAAGTGAAGTCTACAGCTTAACAGCACCCTTAAATTTAACTCTCTCTTTACCACTTACTTTTATAGGACATTTTTGTGTGTGGACATTATTGCCCTTGAACTTGTTTTAAATGGACATTCTTACCTGCAAGGCTGAAAAGTACTACTTTATTGATTTACTGTTTCCAGAAAATAAACAATAAATATCAAACATAAGTTAAATCAAAAATAGCTCAATCAGAATTGTCAGTATTAAAAATCTGGGCCTGATTGGCTTTATATTGTACATGTATATGTCCAAAGGGATCCAAAGAATAGAAGCTACATTGACACGAAATAAAAACATCTATCATGCGGAGTACAAAAATGTATATATAAATATATTTTATCAATAAGATATAGCAAGAAAGTAAAAAGGCATCCAAAGTAAAGAATTTGAAAATCAAGGACACACAATTCTGTATTTATTAATAACATTATAAGATACTTGAGGACACAATTACATGCTTATTTAATATTCAGTGAATGTTTAAGTACAATACTCTCATTTTGGAAAATGAAGAGAAATGGATGGGTATTTCATGGTATGTAATATATAAAATCCAATAAATTCATGAAAAAGACATCACAATGAAACACATTTTACAAGTAGAATTTCATATAATGTTAATATTAAGATTCAGTTTTTAAGAAAGAAATGTATTGATTTAGATAAAAAATATACATGAGAAGAGAGAAAATAACAAAATGAATGTCATCATGTCATAACAGGATGAATGATGACGCATGTTATCAGAAGCTCAGCTAGAAGGATAAATGTAATGGAGCACATCTGGCATCTTTCTGGCAAATAAATTATAAAAGCCATTTTATATGTACATAAATATATATTTTAAGTAAATTCAGCACGCCATCATGGTCTACACTATACAAATATACCTTAACACACAAGCAACACACACTGATGTACACACGAGAAAGTAAAAGAAGAACAATCCTACAAAGAAATAAATATTTACATTTAACAGTTCTCAATGAAGCATGAGTCATTCATGGTTACGATGCCAACAAATGCAGACAAGGCATGCACCACATGTTTAGAATACCTGCCACCATCGGAATCCAAGCCTCGCTCCAGACTGGGAGCCACAATGCGGATTTCAGGCACCTTAAGGCTCTCCCCAGGAAGCCTGAGGAGAAGTAGGACCATGGACACACTAGCTACAGGCTCCCCAGCATGCAGAAAGTAATCGCAGTCTCAAATCAAAGCCCAATCCCAAGGTCAAGGAAATTTTATACTAACAATTTTTATTTGTTCACAATAGCAATGTTGTTTTAATGCGATTTTGATGACGTTATTATTTACTTGAAGTACAATATATCAATATATCAGTAATACATCGACAACACAAACAAATATTATTTTTTTATTAATTTGATGAAAAATTAGTGGAAAAAATGAAATAAGAAAATTTCAGAGAAGTTGGGATGAGAATTAAAGATTCACATGTACTTGTCAAACTCCTTATCCTTACCTCCAAAAGTCCTTAAAATCAGGAATTTCACTTTCATCTTCAAATGAATCCTCTTGATCAACTCTTAAGTCCAAGTGACTCACTCGACTAATGAAGCAGGGAACCAAACAAGCAAAAATAAAATAAAACAAAACAACAACAGCATGCAATCTAACAATAGTATTACACTACCTAAAAGCTGTCATTTGCAATTGTATCCAATTTTTAAAACTCCACCTCCTCTAAAAAGGGAATAATTGAAGAAAAATTCTTTGAAATATAACAATATTACATTACAAAAACAAATATGGTCTAAACAAAGAAAATAAGAAACTATAAGATTTCACAAAAACAGCATTTCTATTAATTGACTCCATAAGCAAAGGTATAAAATTGTTCTTATACTGAACCACTGGTGTGTGTGAAACACACACAAACCCACACACACACTACGCACGCACACCACACACACAGAGTTTGAAATTAAAACTTTCCGCAGCACAAGTAAAGTGATCTCTGATTAATTTCATAATTACTCCTATAAGGAGATGATCTCAGTAAAATATGAAATTGTGCCAAAGTCACTGTGTTTAACCAAAGTTTTCCATTCCTTACATTTTTAATAATTCTAGTTGAAAACTCAAAGAAAATACCTGTTCACAAAAAAGTGAAATTAGTAAGCATTAAATCTGACATATCATTTGAAGACAACATTAGAAACAAAGAGGTCTGTATTTAAGTTTTTGGGAGAAAGAAAGTGATGCACTGGATCGTGCTCTTTTTAAGATCTACACTGTAAATCATAATTTTAATATAAAAGATCATAAAAATTACAATCTACAAAATAATATTTTAATTACTACTTTCAGGAAAACCGAACTTTTTTTCTAATTATATAAGAAATGAAGTTATTATTCCTTTCCCATATTATGCACGCCATCTACAAATTACAATATATACAGAGAATCTTAGTAATTGCTTATTCATTGAATAAGTTATGTAGGAACTTCAACACATACACAGAAATGATGTTTTCCTGTACAGAAGAATACTGCACAATGTGGAAGTCAAACTCTGTGCAAATGCATTTTATTATTTAATTAGGAGAGGGACACACAAGCACCTATTGCTTACCATGTTAGAGATTATAGATTATATTTTATTTGTGTACTTAAATCTCTTGCATTCAGCATTGCACTCAAAAAGGGACAATATTATCTACATGCATGTAGATTTGAAATATCATTTTACTCTACGTTGTATTAAGAACCATTCCTCAGAACCTTAACAAATAATTGATAACCCATGCAGTGGATACCACAAGAATACCAAAACTCCAATGCAATATAACAATGGTTTCCCTAAACTCGTAGAACTCAAATGAGTTTTATTGCCAAGAATGGCTGGTCATGTACTTTACATGTGCATGCCGCACAAGCACTCTATGCATTCAGGACCCTCTACTATAAATGCAGATGGTAGCAAAGAACTTACCTAGCAGTAGCACCAGGTGGAGGTTCCCAAATCATTCCAGATCCAGAACGTATTCCTCGTCCAAATCCTGGTTTCTCCTGCATTTGATATAATGATTGTTAAATTACTAAAAGGCAAGCATTTTTAGCCTGATATCACATACTTGCAATAAAACCTAAGTATTATTATTACATTGAAAAAAACTCCAGTTAACTTACATATTATAGCAGTTATAATAAACACTCACCTTAAGCATCTTCTTTTCAACAGTTAGAACTTTCCGCACATATCTATAGTCACGGGAGAAACGATTCAAGTAAATGGTCATTGATACCATAGCACTTTCAACAAATGCCCATGCAAACTTCAAGAAAGTAGCAATCTTGTGCCATATATTTGGACCTAAAAACAAAAATTCAACACTAATGTTTGTGAAAATTCACATCTTGCCTAAATTTGTTTTCAGACCTACAACTTAAGGTTATCAAGTTAACTATTTGTAGGCAAACAATAGCCATATCAAATTGACAGAATTGACATTTCTTTCACCCACTGATCTCCATGCTACATCTTTGATGAACAGATTCCTCAAATTTCGAATTCTCTCCAAATAAATTGAGGCAAAATTAATTTAGACACTGCCAAAATACGTCTATTGTTTTCTGCATTATTTTCATTATGATAATAACAGGGAAAGGAAATAAAACAAGTATATTTTTCATGTGCAAATGGATTTTCATTAATTTCTGAACTATACTTTATAAATCACAAAGATGTCTCTAGTAAAAACTTCCCATGTTCTTCAGGAAAGTACAATATCACCTTATAACAGATCTTTTTTCTTTGTGGATATGACGTTAACAGTTCCCAGTTTTTTTGGGAACGATAAAGAAAATTTTCCTTTCTTCAGGACAACTGATCGTTTCCCATTCTTCAACCTCATGAAAGGTTATTGAATTTTTATCTTTCAGGGACAGTTATTTTAACAAGAAAAATTGACATTCGAGTTTTTGATTGCAATCAGTTGTCTGCTGGTGCATTAAAGTGAAGGAAATAGAGTCACTCATTTGTATAATATTGAATGGTTTGTAATGGTGATTGATTCCACTAAATTTTCTAGATCTGGTATTGTACATTTTACTTCCTTCTTTCTTTTCTCAATGGGTGCAAATCCTCTCTTTCATTCTAGAAAGCTATGTCCAAAAACATGAGATATGCAAGATCAATGCAGCAAAAAATTCCACAATAAACTAGAAACATATACATGATTCACATTGTATTTTATTTTTATTTTGTGCACAACAATGCCCAAATTTTTCTTCACAGTAATGTACAGCACTTTATTTAAAACTGTGAATAAACATGTCATGATTGGCTCTCTCACAGTAGTAATTTGACTTAGCTGAAAGAGATATTTAACATCCTTTTAATATAACATGAGCATCATCTTTGAGGAATCAGATAAAGGACGACTTTCAAACCTAGTCCTTGGAGTGAAAAATTGCCCTCAGATCACAGCTTCTGAACACTCCAAAAATGGTACTTGGTCTTCGTAGAATTTCCAGTGTTCAAAGATATTTCATTTTTTATTTTCTTTATACTAATCCATATTTCACCATAACTTTCAAGTACAGATTTACTGTATTTATAGCTCTCTTGCAATATATCACCTACTTGAATGGATTTTTGTTTTTGTGACTATTTTCCTTTGTCATTATTAAAAAAAAAATTCTGTCAATTCTGTTCTTTCAAAATGTTTCTTCTCCCTCATGAGCTCAGGATTTTTATCTCCTTTTATGTAAAGTATGTTGCTGAAGAATGTTATACATTTTTAGAGAAAACATAAACCATTGATTTATTGTGAGCTTTGTTAATGAAACTTTCTAACAATATGACATTTTTTTGTTGTGGGATATTGTTTAATTTTTCTTTTCCAAGAAAGTTTCTTGTTTATAACTATTTTCCCTGCCAATAAAATCCTTCCAATTAACATTCCCATTTCTGGAATGTCTAGTGTTTTTGTAAAAGTGTTGATAATTGCACTCATTATAAGAATTAAATCCAATTTTCCTTTGATGTAAGTTGATAAAATTTATGGGTAAATCAGTTGTAGGCAATGCACTAGAAGAATTTCAATGCAGCTTGATTCACGACATACCTAGGTAAAGGTCTGAGGGCTGAATTCATAGTCATCACTTATAGGATAAGTGAACCCTAAGTGATAAATGCTTTCTCAAAATAAGTGTTCGCTTATAGGCGCTCGTATTTCATAGACGTTCCTTACGACCGCAGAACGAGTGTTTCCTTAAGCGGAGGGGAAATGTGACATTTTATTGGCGGCAGCTGTTCTGAAGATCTTGGCAACCAAGTTTACACACGCACTTCATCTTGTACAAAGGGCATCCAATTTAATAGGGGGTGGACACTCCAATGTCGAGTTGACACACGTGCTGCAACCACTTATCACTCTCATTTGTTGTGCTTATAATACTTAACATCAGTTTCAATAGATTCCACGTTAACTTATGCTGTAGTATAACTAATGAAAATGGTATGAACGTAGGCCTGCCAATATTGATAATGGATTATTAACATATCATGTAATGAAAATGTCAACCCCATACAGTATTAACATAAATTCCATTTTACAACAATTTAAATTACTTCACTAGTAATTCATATTGCAAATTCATAATTACTTATAATAGGTCTTATAAATCGGTAATGAATAAAAGTTAAAAATTTTGGAAACATACCTGAAAGGTTGAAATAAAATCTGAATGCAACGAGAACTTTTAATAAGGGGGATATCGGTAGTCCTCTTTTAGTCATTGGAACTTTGTCAATCATCAGCAAAAGTATATGCAGTACAGTAGTTTTATTGAAACGAAACCGCCTTCAGAATTGTTCATCATTGCACATTTCCAATGGGTTGCTCATATCTTTAATACATCTCTTTGAATTTTGCAGGATGTGTTGAGTTCAAAACTCAAAATAATCTTGGAAGTCGTTTTCCATAACGTTTCACAAATGGAACGTATTAACTGGCTACACTATACAAACATCAGCAAAACAAATTCAATAGTTGGTGAATGCCGCAAGTATAACCTAAACTGGTTATGACTGACGATGCGAGGGTGCCAAGAGGATCACTTAAGGGAGCAGACTACCTCCCTTAAAGAAATGAGTGCTCACTTAAGACTTCACTCAAGGGCTGTTTATGAATACGATTAGTGTACTTAAGGGAACACTCAGTGTAAGTGACGACTATGAATTCGGCCCCGAGTGTACAATCCTTGAAACCATTCATTATCTAGTTCATTTTCTGTGCATTCCAGTTAAATATCTGCACGACTATACTTCTTTTTTTGGACATTTCTAATTTTCTCATGAGCCAAAAACTAACTAAAAAAGGGGAAATAAAAACAGCAAATTAAATTATCAGCATTTTCAGCAAAAACAGAGTTAAAAACATTGAGAAAATTTGTTTTGTATTAGTGGACAATTTCCGTTATGGCAGGAGAACTCACTTTTTTCATCCTCTTCTTCAGGTCCTAAAGATTTTTGATCTGAAGGACCTTCCCCCTCATCAGGTCGCTTTTCAGGTCCTTGACCTGACAATGGATCTCCAACACCATAAACAGGGTGCTTGAAAACAAAATATAAACTATCACAAAAAACATAATTGCCATTAAAATGTGTATACTTCATCCAATTGAAATATCTATCATTAAATATTTGTAAATACCTATAGCTACTCATATCACAAAACACAGCATGCAAATACTGAAACTTCGAAATAAAGTTTATAATATTAGAGTAGGAATTCACCTGCAAATTTCAGGCAAAATTCAATACAAATATTGTGTTCAAAATGCAACAATTGCTTTCAGTGGATTGGCTTATTTTACCTATCATGCTGCTTTAAGCAACACTAAATACATGTTTGGATTCAATACTAAATGATATACCAAATACAGCATACAGAGTGTAAACCTACCACATCTGTAATTAAATATATGAAAAACTCAAAAGACAGGGTACCTTGTCATGCAGGATTTTTATTATCTGAACTTGAATACGTTTCACTTTATTACATCTAGGGTTAAAGGAGGAAGTTCCAACCAATGTTCAGAAAGCACAAGGGAGAAACAGCATGATTCCTGCATTCTATCAGAATATAAAACAACTGCAAATAGTCATTCTACAAAAATATGACAAATAGCTTCACCATTTTCAACTAATAGCAGTAAATTGTTTATGTATTCCAGTCACACCTACATTCACATGCAAATGGTGATTTTTTTTTGTCAGAAGGTCATGTAAATATCAACCTTTTCAATAATGAATCTGGCCACAACAATTAATTTTATTATCTTCAGTTTCAAAAAATCTATCATACTCCATATGCCTTTATTAAATGTACATACACCTATTATTTCATAAATTAATGAATCTATATTTGCTCTCTTGTAACAGTGTTTGAAGCAATTATTCAGCATTAAACATGGAGAAATTCTCCTTGAACATGTCTTTTTGTCATAATGTAATTGCCTTTATTCCCTCTTGGCCAGGGACTTGGTTTCGTTAGTATCCTTGGTTCCCACATGGTCAGGGACCATCAAGGACCTTCAGTGTTGAGCTGCTTAACTTCTATGACTTCACAGAATGTGGTTAAACAGTTTGGCTACCAGAGCCAAACAAAAGGGGTGTATGTTAAAGCATGTTACTCAAACTAATTGTAGTTAAGTAAGTATCCACCACCACAAAATTAATGCAAAAAATTAAAAGGTCTACTTCTTACTCCACAAACTTGAGTTAAATTAAACATGTCCATTAGCTGTGTAAATCCAGTGCAATTTAGTGCAAAACCGTTTTCTTTTTTACAAACTCTTGAATGAGAAGTCAGTGTTACTTGTGTTAATTAAGCTCTTGTGCTCCAGCTGTGATTGATTGGCAGATGAAATGTTACCCGACCACTGTAATGGGAAGAAAGGGCCTACGCCATCAAACTATTTGGAAGGAGGACAGAAATGCAGGACTTCAAATGTGTTTCAATATTTAAACTTGATAAAAGTTTTTGAAAAGAATAACATTGCAAAAGAGAAAACACAGGACAAGCAAATTTTCTTTAACATGTAGAAGAAATCACAATGAAAGTTTGCCTTATAACACTAAAAAATTAATTCAATTTTTAAGATACAATCAATCAAGAAATAATATACAAAGGAAACAAAGAAAACAAAAATAAGAAAAAAGAAAGAAAAAAATGTGCTTTTAGTACAATATTTGAAATAATGCAATGATCCCATCATTGACTAGAAAATAAAAGAATCAAGAGAAACAATGTGAGAAGAGAGAGACTTGTGAGAGGGAGCTCTGCACATGACTCACACGTTCACTGCGAGTTGAAGTGCTGGAGTGTGAGAGGGGTGCGTCACACGGCTCAGAGCGCGCATGAAAGAAAGCAGCTCGCTCCTGTGGAGAGCACACAGACTCTGGCAGGGGCCCCAGGCCTGTGCTCCCGTCTGAAGCCTGAGGGGACTGCCCCGCAAGGGCTAGGTCAGTGGCCTTCTTAAGATCTGTCTTCAGTGCTGATGTTAAGAACTGCACCATGGAAACCAAGCACACAGCAACTACAGTCCAGGTATGAGAGGAAAGCCTTTCATATCATGAGGTGTTCCCATTTGGCTGCAGACTAGTACTTAGTAACAATGAGCAGTACCCAAACTTTTATGCCCTGCTAAAAGTAATACAAGCTGCCTGCATGCTATTAAGCTTTCTGTGCTACAAGCCCTCACAAAGAAGCAAATGTGTCAACTTCTCAGAGGCTGTTAGTAAAAAAAGACTGAGTTAATAAAGCCCTCCCACACTTAGAGAATTACACCCATTAGATCATGCAAAATCCATTTTCATAAAACAGATACTTAATGAAACAAAGTTTTATGAAATACTAATAAAATACCTGACTCATTGACATCTTCCGTTTACCACTTGGATATAGTGGATCATTTTCATCACCTGATTCATCCTCTTCTTTCTCTTCCAAATCACAAACCTCGTCTTCCAATTCTTCAAACATGTAGTAATCACCAGAACGAATGGCTGAAAGAAAATAACTTGATGAATATCACATATTCCTGAGAACTAATAAATAACTTTTGTGGCTCATTAAAATTGACAAAATAAAAATGGTCTTAATCAATTAAAATTTGTATTAAGTGAATAGCAAAAATAATTTAATTATTGAATTTACAATAAATTCATTTTATCATTTTAAATTGTTTAAAAAACATGTTTATTTTTTGCATTCATAAGAATTCAGATACATTTTTATTTGGATTTTTACATGTTATTGACATATTTACAAATTCATAAAGCAGTAATCAGAAAGAATAAAATTAAGATTGGGTGACAAAATCTTTCGTCAACTGCAATTATTTACGGAATCAAGTCCTATGCTATATGAATTTTTGATCATCCACATTTTGTCTTCAATCTTTACAGTGAAGTTAATTTTTCAAAGCTATTACTATTGGTTATTGTTATTTATTACTGAATTAATAACTAAATCAACTTCCTTTCCATGCAAATCCATTGCATCTTCTATTTAATTGCTTTTGCAGATTCATTTTCATAAAGTTGAAAAGAGAAGAAATTTTAAAATTCAATAAGCCATGACAGGACAAATTTAAATTTCAAAAATTATTAACATATCTTTACTGCTAATACACTCAGCTGCTCGTTACCCAAAACAATTTAGATTCTTAAAGAAATTTGTATTTTCCAGTGGGAATGATATGTTAATTGCAAATTTGGAGTTATTCATTTGTAAAATAGCTTTAAAAGTTAGATTTAATTAATGTAAATTCACAATGCAATAGTTTTGAATTAATTACAAATTTTTGTATTAAGTGAACTTTTAATCATATTTTGTTAGATTATTTGCATGTTCCGTTACAAAAATTTTAAATATCTTTTAAAACCAATTTAATAACAGTTCTACTAACTATTGTTTAAAACATTTTATACATTTATTTTTTTGATTAATTGAAAGTTAAAAATAAAACTATTTTGCCACACAATCCTAGTTGCATTTTGATATGAAACGGTAATTACAAAAACATCAATAAAGAAGCATTTCAAATGCTGTAATTAAGAGTAACATTATTTACACACAAAATGTTTTGTTTTACTGCTAGCAAATTAAAACTAATACATATTAGTGAACAAATCATTGATATTAAAAAGTTATGCTCTCCATGCTGAAAATGGTTAGTATAGATAAGGTAGCTGTAAGTAGCAATATTACAGCCGGGTTACAAGCCATTATTAACAGAAGACATTTAATAATGTTCTAACTAGTTTTGTTCTATACCTAACATGAAATGTCAAGAACATATTGTATGAATAATGTATAATGAATGAACTGAAAAGAGAAAGAGAATAGGTGTATCAAGTTAGCATGCATAAACCACAAAATTAGTAAATTATAATATTTGCCTAAATTTTTCATTAAAAGTATTATATACAAAAAGCTTTCTCAAATCAGGAAAACCAATTATTTCCCTTCTTCTTTGCCATCATGCACTTCTGAACATTTCATCAGAAAATAATATAGGTGTTTGTCTACTTTTCATTAACAATGTGCATGTTCTCGTTATATTTAAACTCCTAATTTAAAAAAATTGAACAAGGATTGAAAATTAAACCAATTTGAACACTAATTTAGCAACATTAAAATTCTGAAAATTTAACTGTACTACAATGTATGCAAAATGTTAATTAAATAAGCTGCAATTCACATACATGGAAGGCCATCACATTTCTAACTGGAAGGGGAAATATGTTTTTACAAAGTAAATAACCTGCAATATACTTGGTACTTGCTGGCCATTTCTGCCTGTATTACAAGGATATTAAAAATGAAAAATTGTTACTACTAAATCAAACGGCAGATGTTCTCAATCCTTAGATATTTAATATAAAGAGAAAGTATCAACCCTCAGCAAATTCTTGTAGCCAAGTATTTAGAAGCTCTGGTTAAAGGCCCAACACCATTAGTTGACAAAAACCGAAAGTTAAAATCAACTTTACCATCTCGATTAAACTTTGGAGGTTTGTAGGGCTTCATTGCACTTTTTCCAGCTAAAAGTAAACATGATATGCTTTTACTACACAAAAATATGGCATGAAATGTAAAAATTAAATCAGCAAGAAACAAAAAATATATTAAAAATGCACTTCTGTAAAAAAAAAAGAAAAAAGAAAATCATGCTGGAACAAAACGGAAGGTTTCCAACGTCTCTCTACCTGTAGGTTAGATCAGAAGTCAATATGCACATTAAATATGAACAGTCACATAAGGCAATGTGTATATACATTGCTAAAGAAATTGAAATAATTATTACTGGAAGTGTAAATAAAACGATGGCAAAGAGCACTATTGATGCAGTACAATACCATTATAGAGTTTATTAGATTAGAAGTGCAAATTAATGCAAAGATATTAAAAACTAATGGTTAAATGTAGAGAATTTTTTCCTGTGGTAAACCCTGAAAAATAATTATCCCAAACATTAAATTTAAAAAGGAGAATATAAATGAATAAATTTTGTTAAATTATTCACAGTAATCAGTAAGCCAACCAAGAAGGTTTGCTCAACCCCTTTTTTTTCCAGCCTGAACTAATAGCAATGTTTATGACTCGAGTATGGTTTGCTATGATGACCTGAGTGAGGGCAGTGGGGTGCAGACATTTTCCAATAGAACAGATTGCAGGTCTCATAGAACCTGGGTTCATTGACAAAAACTGCTTTACCTGTCCTGCCTTGTGTAACCTATACACTTTTTATGAAAAGCCTGTACTATAACAAAAATTAGATTTACGAGAAAGACTGAAATAGAAAGAAATAATGAAGGCAATTCACGTCAAAGATTCTGGAGCACAAGAAAATGGATGACGATTTAACTTCTCCCCTACACACCAAATTACATTTTTACTGTTTTTTTGTCAATGAATAAATCAAATTGTATTATTACAATTGTATTAGTCTGTTGGCCAGGAGATACGCATTATAGCAACCCAAAGGACAGAATTTACAAGAGGTAAGTTACCTTTCGAGAAGTAGTAAAACTAACAATACGCAACCCTCTATACCCTGACGTTCCCTTCCTCTCTGACGAATACTCTGAGGTACCCCCTTTCTGAAGATCGTCTGTCCGTTTCCATGAACCGAACCGCCAGCTACCCCGAGCCTGTCGAGCCCTGTCTCCACCGCTATAATGGCATGTTCCTGCATCTGTACAGCGAGGCGAGCGGAGGGCGCGGGGTGGGGGTGGGGGCGCTGGGGGGGGGGTCGTTACATGTGTGGTGGGAGCGCGGCGAGGAGAGGGAGAGCGAGGCGCGGGGGTGGCGAGTCCGGCAGCCAGGGCGGGCCCACGCCGCTGGAGCGCGCGCCCCCGCCGCCGCCCCGCCCGCGCCAGCCCCGCCGCCGCCGGCGCCGCCTCCCGCGCTGCCGGCCAGGGTGCTGCGGCGCCGCCGGACCACGGCGCCGTACGGCGGCGGCGAGAACACCGGGAAGCTGTCGTCGAGGGAGGGCGCGCGCGCGCCGGGCGCCGGCAGGGCCTCGGACGTGGGCGGGGAGCTGAAGGAGATGCGGTGCGGCTCCAGGTAGCCGTCCAGCGACACCGTCAGCACGGCCGACGACGGCGTGGGCGCCTGCGTGGGCAGCAGCGAGCCGTGGCGCGCCGCCGCCGACGGCGTGGGCGTCAGGGACGGCGGGGGCGTGGGCGTGGGCGAGCGCGGGGGCGTGGGCGAGCGGTCGTCGACGGGCGTGTGGAAACCGGCCGGCGTGAGGGGCGAGCTCTCGCCGGAGGAGCGCGCCAGCGGCGCCGTCGCGGACCCGGCTGCAACGCACAATGCACGGCGCTTCGCAAGGGCTTCTTTCCGTCCGCACGCGCCTCTGCAACCCTCCGACGTCAAAGGACGTTTGAGGAACAAGGGTCTGTCGCGCTTCTACAATAGATGAACCTCCTCCTCACCGTTATTCGTGGAAACCGGCAATATCGTTAAGAAAACTCTTGGAAAATGTAGTATGAATGTCTTTATAAAAAATAAATATTGTTCATTAAAGACATCAGATCGTCTTGTATCCAACATTATAACATAAGAATAGTTAGTTCAACTAATCATTCTTTTATTCAAACATCTCACTTTTTATTATATACTTTCACCTAGCATAACAATTTTAGTTCCTTACACACTTTTTATCAACGATATAATATTCCTCATCTTTATTTATAAGGTCTAGGTGCAAAAACAGCCCATACTTCCTGTGTTATTTGTAACTTTTGCAATTTTTGAAAATTCAGAAAGACACCCTTGTTCTATTGGAGAAAAAATGAGCTGTTTTTAAAAAAAGTATTTCTTTAAAAAGTGCCTACTTTTCATGCAAAATTAAGTGAAAACTGATATGTTGGAAAATTTGTTTGTTACCTTATTTAAAGATTTGTCTTTGAAGAATGGATTACATTAAGTGGGTAAATCTATCTTCAATATTGCAAATGTAGGAAGACGCCAACAAATTTCGAACTTTTGCAATTATCAAAAATTTAGTTAGTTTAACGAAAGTGAGGTCTCCTCATATTTTCCAGCATCTTTTGCTCTATCCATAGAAAAAAATTCCAATACTTAGGAGCCATTTTTGAGAAAATTTAAAAAATGATGTTGTGGCTTCATGAGAAGTACCTCCAAAAATCAAAATTCATATGACCTTGAGTTCCATTAAATCAATTGAGAAATATAAATTTTAGAGAGAATTATCAGAACAGTTTAAGTATCGCCATTGACCACAAAAGCTACTAGGCAGATGTTTTGTCATAAACCATTTCTTTGCGGTGCAGGACCCACAAAAAGTGGATTCTGACTACACAACGTGTTAGAGGAAGTAGTTTACCACGCAAAGCAAGAAGATTTATCAATTTTTTCGATATTAATACACCACCAAGAGTGTTTCTGACTGCGCATACTGTAAAGATATGTCAAAACTTGTTGAATGTTGGTGTGACCCAGACCTGTGGCACCTTAGGACTAGCTGCTTCTAGTTGTCTTCATACAAGATCTGGAAAATGATCCACGTCTTTTCTTCCTAACTTTTACAACAACAAGAGATAGAAACAAAGCTGAAAAATTTCAAAATTTTATTTAATATATAACATATACTGACCACAAAAATAACAATATTGGCTGCAGAAAAAAATGAAGTGATTTAAACACACTGTTCAAAAAGCACTTCTTTGCATAATAAAAAATACACATTTCAAACAACCTATGCATAAAAAGACTATATTATGGAAAATAGCAAAGCAACAATTACAGAATATGAAAAGTACTTTGAATCCTTTTTCAAGTGACATTAATTAACTAGTGTCCATCCTTCAAATTTCTGAAAATGATTCTTCTCAGAATGCTTTACACAACTAAACATTTATTTCCATTCTTAGAAATGAAATGAAAGGGCATCATTTTACTTCTGATACAGAAAAAGCAATTTCAAATAATAAATTCTTACCTTCAAAGTGATTAGATGGTTCACGATAAGTATCTTGCATTTTCTGTTGCGATGCTTTGATCTTCTCCATTTTCTGCTTAATTTTCTCAAGCATAGTATGTTCCTGATCTTCTTGAGCTTTAATTTGGTCCAGGTGAAGTTGTTCTATCAATTCTGCCCCTCTGTAATAATAGACGCATTGGTTTTTTAACTTAAAATTATATAATGTAGCAGGTCATTTAAGACAAAAAAACCTAACAAATCATAGAACATAATTTGGAATATATCCATCAACTGTAAAATCACGAAGTTAAAAATACCTAGTTCATAAAATAAAGAATATTTAAAAAATAGAACCTAATTCTTCTTTAAAAAATAGTACCCTATTTTATAGAACCTAATCTGTAATCAGATCAACTGCCCTGAACTTCTGTCCTCCATTCCCTGCAGAGTACAAGGTTGAACTGTGAGATACTGCAGGACTAGGATTGGAGAAAACAGTACCTTTAACAGAGTCCTTAGGAGTGCTAATATTGTTATTATTATTGTCCCATGACATTTTTTTAACAATAATTTGTGTCTTTTAAAGTAGTCTTGATCAAATAATTTTACATTACTAATTGGCAAAATGAAACCTTTTCTACTTTCCAAGTATACTTGCAAATGCTTTATTTAAAAATGATCCTTTATAATATTTCAAATAGTGTAAGATATCTTATTTTATAACATTACTTTAGAACATCAGTATTATAGCATTTTCAGCAATGGAAATAGAGGATTACCTCGAAGCAAGTATTGTTTTTGCCTTGGTTTCATTAACGATGTGAATGAAGTAATGGCTTTTAAATACTCTGCGCATTGCTATCAAAAATACAAAGCACATTGTGTCCCAAAATAAACCTATTACTTCATCTGACACAGCACATTCATCTGGAAGAAAAAAAATCAAATATTGATAGCTTAGAAACATAATTTTTCCATTAAATACTCATTTAAAAATTTCATGGTCAATACCATTTCTTTAAAATCAGAATAAGTAAAATTATTTTTTAAGAAAATAATTTTATTTTTAAAATTATGGGACAAAATAAGTTTCATAAAGACATAGCAAAGCAATATTATTTCAAAAATACACTTGCCTTCATCTGCATCATTTGGGTCTGTCTCTCCAGCTCTTTTAATACACGATATTGCAAATAACTGCACAACTGTACATGCACTCTGTTTTGTTTCTTTAAGAAAAATACAGCCAACAATTTGCAGTAGAGTTTTACAGGAAATTACTGCTACATTATAACCCAACAGATAGTTCCACCAATGTAGAATTACTTTCACAGAGCGAAGATAAAAATCCTCTCCTTGCCACAAGAACACAAATGCACCTATGAGGTATCCCAAAGAGAACAGGCTCACTCGGTTAGTTCCAGCCAAAAACATCACAGCTAAAGTGACCCACATCAGGGTGCAGAGTACACGCTGTTTCACTATATCAAGCCAAGATCTGGAAAAAAGTTTGTTTTATTAAGACTCTTACATTGCCCTATACATGTTGTTTGATATTTTGAGAGGACTTACTTCATTTAAGTCAATAGCACATTTTAACTTATACCTTGCAATTGATATGAAATCAGGAATAGGGTTGGCATAATGTGGATCATCGATGAGGTGAGTAATGTCTTGATTACTTCCCCCATTGTAATCGGCACCATGCTTCTTTTCAAGGTAAAATACTACCCCTTGTTGAGAAACCAATATTAACAAAATAAAATCCGCTGAAATAGAAAAATAGTATTAATTGTTTTTATACTAACAAATAAGTTGAAAATTACCAATTTAAAAAAAAAAAATCATACATTTTATTCCCATTCATTAAATTAAGATAATGACATCAGATTTACTAATCGTGCCATTGAATATTTTTTCTGATAATTCTGAACTTTTATTCATCTTTCAGATTTCCTTAATTGCTACAAGTAATCGTGCTTCCTGGGCTGACGACCAAAAACCTCAAATCAATATTACTCCCAAATTAACGGAATTATTGTTTCCCACCAAATGAGGTTGGTTCTGTACAATAGTAGTTGACAAAGAGTTCATAGAAATTTAAATTACAAACTATAAAATATATATCACTACACAAACAATTACTACAATTACACAAATTGCCAATAAATGTAATAAAATAAAGCAAAGGTAGTATGTAATACTTTTTTCCCTTACAAAAATGTAGTCAGAACTATTTAGTATTCCTCAAAATTACTGTTTACTTAATAAGACAATTACTGATTTATATAAATAAATTGTTTTATTCCTGTAAGTGTTGTTTGACTTATTATTTGTTATTCATTAAATGTTTGTGGTATGAGATCATTATAAGTTACACAACCTGAGATTATTTCTCAAAGGCTATTGTTTCGGGAGACCATTTCAGGGAAAGTAATCATTATCATGATGAAAGTTACAAATCCCTAAATATGCTCTTAAATCAGCATTGAAAAACTTCAGTCAAGTCCAAAAACATATGTCAATTAAATACCCATTCAATAAAATATCCAAGAAAGAATTTCTTTGAAATCAAGGCATCAAACCTTTCAATTGATGTTCCAGTTTTAGTTTTGGTTTATAAAATCACTTTTTGTTACCATTTTGATTTAGTTGTCAAAATAAAAATTAAACTGTTTTCTTATCATTACATTTTTAGTCTTGTATTAATATTGTATTAAAAGGCGTTCACTACTGATGCAGTGAAAATTGGCCATTAACAAAAGTGATCACTTAATCAAGTTGACAAAGTTTTGAGGAAGCATTTATCAGGCCTAATAGTGTTGACTGATATGAAATGAAGTATGTTTTCCATAAAGTAATTTTTATTGTTTTAAACTACAAAATACAACTAGCACATTTAATTACGCTTGAATTATAGAAGAAAGTCAAATCTGTTCGCATGTGGATTTTACTCTTCTTTTTGGTCCCAAAAAAGCTTTGTAGAGTTGTTCATTTAATAGTTAACATACCTTTTTAGCAGCAGAGGTTTCAAAGCTTTCTAAAAGTTTTCTTAATAATTCATTTTTAATAATTTCATTAATGTGTGTCCTTTCACTCTTAAAATGACAGGACGCTTTCTCTTAGAAATCCCTTTCTTGTTTTATGGGATCACTTGCCTCCTCTCAGCTAGTGTCAGAAGCCCTTGACTTGTCACTTTCTTACTCACGAACCCTTACTTTCCATCCTCAATAAACCAAACTAAACAAGTTAGAGGAAACCATGGAGTTTTCAAATTCTGCAAAATTTTGCAAATGTAATTTCCATGTCTACCTCACCCCAAACACACTTAAACTGTGAAATCAAATTGCATATTGTGGAAACTACTCATTAATACCAACACATTTCAATAGCACCACATATCTTAGCAACCTAATCAGTTTTTTATTTTTTGGCTTATGAAGATGTCTTAGTCAAAAAATATTATTTGGCATCAAATTCTTAAACTATAAGTAACAATGTGCAAAACTCCCCATGTTTCTTTCTTGCTTCAAGTTCTCAAACTACCCAATACAATCTAGGGAAGCAGGAAATTATAATACACTAGATACTAGGACAAATTTAAATAACTGAAGTAGAACAGTCATTCTCTTGCATTACAACATTTGTGTCCATAATATTTTTTGTTAGAATGAAAGGAAAAATATAGGTAAAATGTATTAAAAAGAATGTAAATTCTCTCAGAAAAAATTGTGATGAATGGAAATGTCATGTCCTATAAATATTACTTACCAACAATTTTATAGACTGGCAGGGGATACAAGGGATCTGGCAAAAAAGCCCAATCTTGAACATGTCGTAAAGTTTCTGAAGTATACCAAGGATATTCTAGAAAAGGAAATAAAAAGTAAAATATGATCAAATCACTAAATGTCAAAGTCATACTTAAAAGCTATTTTGTTTTGTAAGACATTTACCTATACACATGGCAGTGGGTAATCCAACTGCAAAGGCATATTGAATACAAATGGTTAAGGCAATGAATATGTGGTAAAACCCCCAAATTCGGGCCAATGTTTCTCTTTCCAAACTGAACAAGCCACATAACCATATACAATGTAAAAGAGCATACATGTCCATGCGAGATGCAATTAATATAACAGCTAGAATGTAGCAAATCTGAAAATGAAGGACAAGAATAAGAACATACAACAGAAATAAATTAATTATTGACAAGCAATTCGGTCTTTACTTACTTCGATTCCAAATTTGTAAAACCCATAGTTCACCAAGAACTGAATACCTGACTTGAGATTTCGATCAGCATTGTTTCTATTAATATCAGGAAAAAGAACTTCAGGACGTTTTAAAGGCAAATTCATTTTTTGGCGTCTATATTGTTGACGAATAATAATGACTGCCAATATAGTTGCCAAGAAAATTAAACCTAAACAAGGAAATCAAATACATAAAATTAAATGTCAAATTATTTTAGAAGATGAATTTCTCAAGTAAACACTTACCAATATAGCCTTTTACTAATTCGGGTAAAGAAAGTTCATCATTAGTTTTATCCAAGCCAACCCATTGTAGATTGTTAAATGTGTAATTTGTTATATTTGTACCCAGCACAGAGAACTGTTCAACATAAGAGAAACATAACTATTTTAGTATATGTACTGTACAGACACATTCTATTTATCATCATCGTCATCATCATTAACCACATACTGCAGGTGAAATTATTCTGTTTATTTCAGCTTTTATTTCTGTTTTTTTATTTTATTGCGTCTATGTATCATAAGGCGTCTCCTAGCTCCCTAAGGAGTGTTGAGTGCACTCGGGAAGTAATCCTCCGTTAACATTTACAATTTATTAAGCACCCTCTTGAGTTCCATCAGAAGACAAGTCAGGGAATCATCGACAGATAGTGTCTTCGCGCCCTGAGCCATCGGCCAGAATTGGGAAAGAATAAGGATAGGGGTAAGGTTTAGGACGATTCTCAGAGGTTGGATTAGCCCCTGTGAAGCAGGCAAACTCGTTTTGTCTTAACAATTTTCACTTGAGGTTCTACAGGAATTCTACGTGAATTGAACCCGGAACCTCGAGTGGTGGCCAACCTGGTGAAAGGCAAGCAATTTCACCCTGAGCCACAAGAGCTGCTTGCTAATAATCTCGACACTTATAGCATAGAATTATTTGAAAAGAAATAGTCCCAATCATCAATTACATCAGAGTTAAAAGAAGATAACTAATTTTCTCAAAACTACAAGCATGCAATAGACACTTGAGATTAAAATGTATTTTTACAATAAAATCACTTACTGTACAATTCACATCATGTATATCTGGTTTGATATACTGAATTTGATATATCATTTTTGATAGCAGAAAGACACTGACAAGAGCTGAACATATTTTGGTGATGAGAGAATGTATTCTGGTACCAAATGATAAAGCAACAACAGCCATCAGTAAAAGAATAAAATGTACTGCACACACCTTCAATGAAGAAAAAAATAAATAATGACAATGAGTAACATTCACAAATAAAGATCCATACATTAATTATGACTCAAATTCGAAAAACAATTAATTCTTCATTATAACAATTTATTCACAATATACATATAATCATCAGAGAAAATCATCAAAGAGCTCAGTGAAATGCTTTTGTTCATTTATATTAACAACAACAACAACAACAACAACTTAGTTAACATTTAACATTTGAAATAAATTAAAGTTTTAAAGGGGTGATTTTTCTTTTATTCTGTATACACAAAAATCCATACACCATATCATGAATATTTACAATAAATCCAATTCATTTTCTTGCAAAAAATACATCAATCTAAATTTTAACAGTAATTCTGAAAAATATTAAGTCTTATTCCATTCACACATAAAACATTAAAACTGATAAAGGTTCAATTAGAAATACTTACATCACGCACACATAGTAAGACAATCGAGAGAAGCATTATTTTGTACATGTGAATTTCCAAATACAGCCAAATGTAGTCAATACATTTCTCTATTCTATCTTTCATTCTCTTCCAAGCTCTTTCGATTTCTTCATGAGACATATCTTCAAAGAGAGAGAAAGAATGTTAATTGGGGTAGAAAAAATATTTTATTGATGATAAAATTTGTCAAAACCTCTTTTAAACGTACAAAATAATTAATAATCATCAAGAAGAGAAAAAAAAACTTACGTCTATGCATAGTTCGCAGAAAACTGTGTTTCTTCTCAAACTGACCACTTTCAGGACCAGTATCTTCAATATCTATAGGAAGAGTACTTTCCTCTGGTCTTTCACCATTAGAAGTTTCATTTCTATTACAAAAACCAACAATAATAATAAAACTATTTATTAACAATCATCTTAGTTTAATATCAGAATACAAGAAATTAATAAGGAAACAAAGTATATTTACCTTGCATTAATATCTGATAAGGCAAGAAAATCTCGATGAAAGTAATGTAATTGTATAACAGTTATAACCAAGAAAAATGTTGGAATAAGTAGTCGAACGAAAAGATCTCCTGTCTGGAACTTCTCCAATCCAATATCTTCTTGGCTAAAGTAATATCACAATCATACAACCACAAAATAAATAATAATAAATATAATATATAAAAATCAAATAACACTTAACTACCTACTGAATAAAAATAACAATCACATTATTAATAAAAGATTGATAAATCTGCTTACAGAGTTTCTGATATTCCCATTCTTGCCCAATATGTATCGAAGTTATCAAATTGGTATGTGTAAACCATCACTAAGATAGCAAGAGAATAAATAATAACCGTTATCCAAAATCCATACAAGAATTTTCGCCATGCAGCATAAGATAACTGCAAATAAAAATGTGAATAATCTAGATGTTCTAGATACATCTTGGAATTAAAATTCCAGATACATTAAATTCATTTCTTAAAATAAATGATAAATATAAGTATTGATATGCACTAAACCTCTTGATGTTAATTTTTTAAATTAATAAAATCATTTTTCAGATTCATATGAAAATTTACCACATATGGGTACATACCTGGAATACTAAAACGAAAAGTAAAAAGAGAGCGGTGTATATAATTCGGAATATTGTCATGTTTTTTCCACTCATTCCAATCACAAAAAGCATTATTGCAACAACCCAAATCCAGAATTTGGTGAGAAAATGAATGACAATTTCTCCAAGCTTCGTAACAAGGGGAGTGGGTTTCTGTGAAGATGAGTCACCAAACCCTAAATAAATAATGATAAAAGGAGATTATTGCAGAGAAGAATGCAATATTCACACAAAATATAAAAGACCTAAGTACCAGATAGAATGAATTATTTTGTTTGAAATTGGCACTAAATGAAATTAAGGTAACACAGGAATTAAATTGTTCAATAGCAAATATAGGTTAAGAAGATTCCTTCAACAAATTTAACTCAGAATTTTGAGATAATGAATAAGGACTATCAAAGTAGAGTTTCAGTATTACACAAAATGAAACCTTACATAACATTTGAATCCACATTCAGAAAATTGGATTTTTTTCATCTTTATAAAAAAATATACCTGTGGTTGCAGTTGTAACAGTGACTTGTAGAGGAGCAGCCATATCCTCTAGTGTATGTCTCGTCTTCCTCTGGAAACGCTCGTATACAAACTGGCGAAGCGTTATCCAGAACATCACAGTGTAGAGAGACTGAAAATGTAAATAATCATACAGCTTCCAATTAAGGAAAGAGAAGTTTTTTAAATATTTATTTAGTACTCTAAAAATTGTTTTCTACACACACCGCAAAGAAAAGTATTTTTCAAATTCCTAATTACAATTATTTAATCTTCAAATGACTATAAATTTTAACAGATCTTTAAGATCTGTCATACTACAATGAGTTTATTTTATTTAGCTTTATGGTCTGCACAATAGTCATTCTCTTGAACATTGTGTGAATAAATATCAGTTTTCTAAAGGCAAGTTATCTAGCTGAACTAAATTAACTTTCTACCTTACCTAGAATAAATGATTTTACAATAAGCTGAACTTTTAATGAATAACTTGACAGCATAAATTGCTAAAGAATTTAAATTTTACAACCCATGTGACAAGAGAAAGCAATAGGAACAACATTCTCTTTTATATTATTAAATCAATAAACTGATAAATATTAACATTTAAGCTCTAATTTGAGTGTGATTCCTAAAACTAAATTTTTCCTTCTCTTTATTAATCAAGAATCATGCTTGGATGGAGAACACAATATAAAATGATGAATAAAATAATTACCTCTTGCATAAGTCTCTGGATATCTTTGTTTTAGGACAGTAGCAGGCAACAATGTTCTCAATATTTCTATTAATTAACTGAATAAAGAGTGAAACCATTTGTTCAAGATCGGTTTTTGCCATTTGATCTCAGGATTTACAGAGACAAACTGCAGTAACTCAGCAAAGGGTGCTTTGTTTCTTTTGCCTTTCGTCAGTTGCACATTCATGACCAGGGGCGGATTTACTCATAGGCACAGGAGATAAGTGCCTACATTGGCAAAATTTTAGGGGGCAACAAACATTGTAGACTAACTTTCTAGAAATAAATTCTAAAACTTGTTTTTATGTAATGACTCATAAATTTTAGAAACTACACATATTTAAATATAAGAAACTGTTATAATCTGTTTGAAGATATCTTATTTTGTACATTTTGTCTAGTCTTAAATGTTGAGATTACGTAATTTAAGAATTAAAGGTAAAATAATAAATATGGATGCATAACAATGAAATAAAAAAAAAGTGAATTTAATTTTTATAAATCAAAAAATATGAAGAAAAAATTAATTTATTTCCATTAGAAAAAATTGAACACACACAAATTATTAATTAAATCATAATTGATTTTAATCATAAATATTACGAATTTTAAAACTCAAATTGTACTTGTCATTACATATAATTACTTCCTGGTTTATTTGGATGGGGGGGGGGACATTTTTTTGCGTGCCTACACGTGACAAAGTTGTTAATCCGCCTCTGTTCATGACCATCATTACAATACACACCTTATAAATCATTCTTCAGCACTCTCATTGTAGTTACAATACTGGAAGAATGGGCTCAAGAATACTTGTGGAATATTATACCCAGGCCATTTGTCTATATTTTCTATCAAGCCATATCTATATTGTCTATATACTGTCTATATTTCCAATTTACCATAAACTAACCTTAGCAAAAAGAGGTTTGCATGGTAGTTCCAGAGGTTTGAAAAAGCCAATTTGCTGAAGGTTGATGTTTTGTAATTCCTGAGGTAGTTCTGCATCTGTGAGGTCCATGCCATAAATATACTGGATGAGCAGAAGACAAATAGCATATAGTACTAATACAGGGGAACTGTTGAGTGAAGCCTGGCGCTGGTTAGGAAACATCCACAGGACAGAGGCCCACAGCAGCAGCACAAAAGTCAGCCAACTATGGTAGGTAATGCTCCAGGCCTGGGCAATGTTCAAACAGGAAACATAAGAGCAAACCCCGGTAGCTACAAATACAACCAATTATACCAATTCAAAATTTGAAATATCAGAACAAAAAAGATGCAACTAAATACAAGCTAATAACTTAGGACAACAATAGAAATTTTCAATTTTTGTTATTGTTTTGAAACGCCTATTAAAAAATTTTATAAGCATGAAGATTTACATATTTAAGAGGTAGAGAAATAAAATTCCGATATTGCAAGTTCTATGATTTACAACATCATTACTTTACATTATGTAATTGATAAAAATGTATCAATTTCAAAATTCATTTATTGAATATTGTAAAATAACATTCAACAAGAAATGAAATGAAAATAGTAACCGTTACCTCAAAGGAAACAAGCCAGAGCCTATAGAAATGAAAAAAAATTTTATATGTATGAATTACATGACATATTATTATAGCAGAAACCTGAAAATGTATTTTTTTTGACAGCCACTAGTAAAAGCAGTTCTTTCAGTGCATGCATAGCATGCTTGATAGTTCAATTTTTAGCTCTAGTGCTGAAAAAAAGATACTCAAGAGTTCAGATAAATCTGTGAACAGAACAAAGAAAACAAATACTTTTATCTAACCATATTAGCTTCTACCGAAATTAATGTATCATTAAGTGATTTGTACACTTGAATTAAAATAAAATGACAGTTATTCTACCTAAGAAATAGTGTATGACACATGTGGAAAAAGTTATTTATTTTCGCTTGTAGAATTAAGCAACTAGGTTTAGTGTTGCAAGTCTTTCCTACTCGCAAAATAAAATGTCACCTTTACCACCCATATCATAAATAAATATCGGAATTACAACCACAATTCTAGAAAACAAACGACAGAAAACTTTTGGAAGGAATTTACTCAACTGTTTCCATAAAATTCTTAAAGAAAAAAGGAAAGAATGGAAGAAATGAAAATTATGCTTTCAGTTACAAAAGAAGCCTCCCATATAATAGCTTACCATCATGACAATATTGGTGGCAATATACGATGATCTGTTGAGTATTGTCATAACAGAAGTAATGCAGCTTACTAACTGATCAAAAAGATCTCCACTACTTTCCTCAGGACCTTAACAGCAAACAAACAATAGATCATATTCATTTTAAATAAATAAACAAATAAATTATTAAAATAATTTAACACTTGAAAGTTAATTTCAATAAAAAAAAGTTAGTACATTCAAGACCAACATGCTTCTACTATAATTTTTGATATTAGTTTATAGTAATTCAATTAATTTTTTCTATTCATTCACAACAACATATTTTCTTAGTTCTGTTGCTTCTGTAATTACATAGGTATCTATATACATATTTTCTTTACATTTAGAACATACGCATTATTTATTTTCTAGCTTCATCATTTTGAGAGAAATGAAAACCTAATTTAAATAATTTTACAATGCGACAACAATTACTGAATCTTATCTTGACATCCACAAAGAAATATTTTCTAAATAAATATACAATGACAATTTCGAAACAAAATAAGAGGCCTAGGAAAATCATACTTTCTTTCGCGTCACCCAGGCTCTCCATTTGGACTATGTCATTGACCTCCGTAATAGTGACACTTCCATGAGGATCCTGGTAAAGGCTACCAGGGCCAGCATCCAGCCCTGCGGCAGCATGATTTGCGGTAGTGCTGTAGTTGCCAGTTGGACTAACCCCTCGCATCAGCTGCAATTGAGCAAATGCTATTTCAGAAAAATCACAAACATCTTTTTAACATTAAAATTTATTTTAAAGTAGAACTTGAAATATGAACATAATTTTTCTACACACATTTAAATAAAATAAAATTCCAATGTAAGAAATAAACTAACATGGTTTTTGTTTGATTTTTTTCCCAAATTTCCAAGAATTTACACGAATTACTTACATTAATTTAATTAATTGAATTAATTAGAATTTGCTAATACAAACAATTATATTCAGTGCATTGAAGTGCAAAGAGAAATTGAAACTCTATAATATTTCATTCTTAAAGCCAATTACTTCTGAAATATTAGAATTTTGCAAAAATACAGACAAAAAGTAGATAAAAACTATTTTAATATATCTGGCCAAAAGCAAGTCCATCGATATTCTCTTACATTCAATTATACGACATATCTTCATAATCACTGAATTACTGTACAATTTGAAGTTGTGTTTAGAAAGAAAGGAGTTATTTTCAAATTAAAATTGAAAATAAAGCAACTGAAAGAACTTTGGGGGATTTACTGATAGGTTTCTCATAACCCATAAAAATCTTTAACAAGCTAGATATAGGGGATCAACTCAAACATTTAGAGAAGTTTTCAATTTCCTTTCTTTTGCCAATTTCATCATTTTTAATTCATTAAAAGCCTTCAGATAAGACACAAAGAGTTCGCTTTAATACATGTAATGTTTCAGAGTAATCAATTCAAATTGAACAAATTGTGTATAAGAATTCTAAAATGTATACAAATATTTTATAGTTATTTAATATTATTTCATATGCATTTTGAAATTAAGGAAGCTTCCATGTCTTCATAAAAAACAATGAACAGGTAATACACAAATTGACTGAGTATCAAACGTTCACTGAAGTAGTTTTGAACTTTATAAGCTGTTAAAAATGAGAATTATACTGTAGTGTACATTTATGGTTGCAGTTTAGGATAAAAAGTTTCAACTGCAACAAATATGTGGAACAAGCCATTTTTACTAAAGCAACAACACAAATTATTAATACTTTGAAAATTAAAAAAGCACAAGACGAGATTAATAGCATGCTATTACATTGAACATAACTATGTTTTAAGAGTTGCAGATTACACACTAGTTAGAAACGTGCATAAGAAGAAATTTCAGCGATAAGGGATTAGCCAAGATTAACAAGCCATAGAAGTAGACACATTAAGTCAAAGCTTCAGAGGGACTAGTGCTTTATACGTACAGGCGTGCTTTCTGTCTGGAGAACCCCGTCCAAATCGCACTCCTAAAAAAACCATTCAAAAACAAATATCAAGCAAGTTAGTAAAGCAAAATACAAAAGTTTTATCTTCAAATCTTCTGGATTTAAGCTTTTAGTTTAGAAAGCAGAATTATATACTATAAATACATCCTGGAAAAAAGAGTAATAATTCTTGAAACATAACTTACTAACATTATGCCAAGGATCAGACAAATATCCATTATTTTTTTTTACAAAAGTTGGCCAAATATATGCTCTTATGTATGTATAATTTTGAGTTATTTTAGATCAATTTGTATGTCCAAACTTTAAAAGCAATTAGTTACATATTAATTTATTAGGCATTGTGCAAGACCATTGCGAAGGATTACTTAACCTGTTCGGTAACCATTCCTTATCCAAGCCTACGTTGGAGTGGTAAAGATTATACACTACAGAAAACTCTGTTGGTTTCAATTTTCTCTGGACATTAACCATTTTAAGGACTCAAAATAATATTTTATCACTTAAAGGTAAATTATTTTTATTTGGAGGCATTCTCTAATTAAACTTTCTTCTTCTTTTTTTGTGAAGATTGTAACAAATTGATTTGTAGCTTTGGGTCTATTACCCGGATCCAAATGATAGCGCAGAAATTGTACAGCATGAATAAGCAGTAAAGCATGTTTAGTCTACATCAACAGCATATGTACTGAACTACTTCACCTATTTAATCATTCTGCATTTGAAAAACTATACATATGGTTTAATTGAACCAAAATCATAAAACTGGTTAACAAAATCTGGAAAAAAACAACATCATGACATTCAATATTCGTTTCTGTTCCAAAATATCTTTGTAGTAGCAGGCAAGCGTACTAGCAGAGCAAGCTTACACATTAAAATTCAACTTGTGTAGCACGACTAACTTCCTTATGTACTGTAGATGATACAGCTGAGATACAAATAGATGCTCATTTACATAGAGTAGAAAATAATATTATCTACAAAGAAATGCATGCTCCTGAAAAAGTAAAGATGTATTTTACTCTACAAAAATCAATTGTTTTTTATAAACTATGAGTAGGCCTTATTACAACTACCCTCTGTTACATTTGACACAATTCTACTTGTTTAATATAACAAACGCGATCATGCATTAGAAAGAGGAAGCTTGAAGTAATAAAAATACATCAAAATATAAGGTAGGCTTTTTAATATTTTTACAATAGTCATCAAATTAGAAAATGCAAAAATGTACAGTCCCATACACCTTGCAGACATTAAATAATGCAAGCGACTAACATTGTAGCATACTATTAACAATGAAATAAATACACAGCTATTAAATTTTAAACTGGCATGGGAGTACATACTCGCACTTTCCGAGTAGCTGATTTCCATCTACTCGCTCTGCGAGAGATGCGCAATGAAATTTCACGTGACAAAGGGGGTTTTAGACTTCCTCCTTCACTTATTTGCTCTTTGGGCTCAGCCTGAAAGGTTAGTAAATGTTATTACATATCCATATTCAAATTCATGTTCACGAGATCCATGCAGAAGAGCATCTGCTGTATTATTTAGGATAATTGCCCCATTAGTTTTATTTTGTTTTATCTTTCAGTTTCAAATTGGAAACTGATGGGAGAAAAATGCGAAAGAAACAAACCTAATATTGTATTTCAAGAATGGTAATGTGAACCATAATTTGAATACAATTCTACCTCAAGCAGTCGGTGCTAAATATAATTAATGAACGCAAAATCAAATCTTTGTTAATAAAATAAGAAAATACTTTCAAATACAAGCCATTCTCTATTTCTGACAATTCATCAAACTATTGCCATTATATGAACCTATGTGCTTAACAAGAAAAGTTCTTGACAATATTTATTAGTATAATAATTTATTTGTGTGTTTCATTAGTTTTTATCTTTAAACACGTCTTATCTTTGCACAGGCTGGGTATTAGATATTTGTGCTGACATGCTGCTTGGATTTATTCAGAGTTAGGTGTACATTTTTGCTTGCGATTCCCACACCAATTTTCTCTTTATATATGTGTAGGAGGCTCATGTGGTTTTACCTGTTAAAATATGATGCTTCATATTTTCCATTTAAGAAAACATGTGCAATTGCACTCCCCCTGTATACATCATATTTGACTTATCATAAACACTTGAAATTGTATATGTGAATCAAAGATTATTCATATTTACTTTCCTATTTTGGTCCTATTTTGGAAGAGCAGAGAGAAAACAAGTCAGTGACAGATTATGTGAACACCCCACAATTTTCAACAAGTAAAGAAATTGATTTTAGGGCAAACAGAGATCCAGAATCTAGAAACAATCATTACTGAAAGACAACATTTTAATACTGCCCCGCAGGTCAAAGAAAAACAAAAGTCATAGGAAAGAATAGAACAACCTACGAAGAACTATAATATAACACAAAGCTCCTCCTACAAATAAATATTTAGAATAGGTATCAAAATTGTTAAGAAAACACATTAGATGAAAACGTACATGGATCAAATTTAGAAATATTTGAACCCGCAAAACAGAGTCTGCAGCCAACTGCAAAAGAACTGTTTGGCGACAAAGTAATACAAAGAGAGAAAAATTCTTGGATATGCCAAAACATAAGAAAATAGAAACAACGATCATGGGAAAAAAAATCCCAAGAAGCAGAAATGTAATAATAGGAAAAAAGTTCTGATCCAAAATATACTTAGAAATGAGATTAATAAATTATAAGATAAAAACCCTGTTGCTCTAATCTGTAGGTCTAAGAGGAAACATATGTCAATACAGAGAAATCTCTGTTCCAAATAAGAGCGCAAGAGACTCTTCAAAGAAACGAAAGGAGTGAAAGCTCCAAGTCCATGAGGAATCCTATGGAAAACAACTGAAAACGGGGCATCAGAGGCAATAAAAATCAGGCAAAAAACTAAAAGGTCAAAGAACAAGGGAATAAATAGAAGTGAAATATTCTCATGTTATTTCCAACTTTTGCAATTTTCAGAACATTCAGAGAACTTAATGAAATGTGAAACCTAAGGCATTCTTTCAAGTGAATTGTTCAATTTGTGGAAAACGGAAGCAGTTTTTGAGAAAATGGGTTGTTTTTAAAATTTGCATTAACTTTGAAAAGAAATTGTGCAAAATCTGTTGTTTTTTCCCTTATTTTTTCTTTCTTTCTTTCTTTCTTTTTTCTTCAAAAAGTGACACAGCACCTTTTGAAAACTCTGATTTTCTAGAAGACATTTGGTTTGCGAGAAAAATTGCTATCTTCAAATTAGTGGTTTTGCAATGTAACCTTTTTTTGCAGTTTTCGAAAAAACAGAGTTCCCCAGAAATTAGACTACCACCATTTTTTTTAACCATTCTTTCATAAACACGTGGGCAAATTTTAAAGAACAAATTTGGAGCTGTATTTAAAAAAATAATTGTTTTAAAGTTGCCTAAATTTCATGCAAAATTTACCCAAAACTACTCATATTTTCAAAAAATTGCGCTTGACCTTAATTCAATATATATTTGAACAACAGATTTTTTTTAAAAAAATCTATATTTTTAATGCTGTTGCCATTACAAAATAAATATCTTAGTAGTAGAAAAATGTCAAAAAAATTTTTAAGTTTTGCAACATTCCAAAAATTAGGGAATTCACAAAAAATGAGTTCTGCACCATTCTTTTATGTGTGGTTTACACTATCCAAGGCCAAAGTTTTTCTTTCTTTTTTATTTTTAAATGGAGCTATTTTTGAGAAAATGTTGAAAATGTTATTGAGAACTCAAGTAAAGTGCCTTCCAAAAATTAAAATATCCATTTCACACTTTCAGAGCCTTGAGTAACTTTAAATTGTTCAGAAAACATCAATTTTGGAGAAAATCAACTGAACGGTTTTTGATGCTAGCACTGACCACAGATGGATGGATGGACGGTCAGACAGGCAGACAGACATTTTGCAATCAATCAATTTTTCAGTGTTAAGAACCCACAAAACCATGGATTCTGGCTTCACAAAGTGTTAGAGGAAGTATTGTACTATATATACGAACAATATTTATCTACTTTTCTATTCCCATGGCCCAGCAATAAGAGATTTTCTGTCAAAAATTCACTGATTTCAGGCACACATTTACAATACTTCCTCTTCTTACAAAGAAAAGATGAAAAACTAAAAAGGAAATGATGAAGGCCAAGAGCATAATAAATAAGTCATAAAACAAAATTCAAATTAAGCATCACGCACGCATCCCCACACACGCAAGCTCCCATCCACACATGCAAACACGCACATACTCACGCATGCATCCACGCAAACACACACACTGCCAGAGTAGAAGAGAAAATCGAGGAAGAATATTAGGATTAGAAGACTGAAGTAAAACTGAAGAAACTGGCAGACAATAGATGTGTTCTGGTTCTTAAGAGTCTTGGTTCATTCAGTCATGAAATAAACAACTGATCTTTTATTACAAGATCTTCCAAAGAATATTTGTGATACTGCAAAATAATATTTGAAAGGAAATCTAGAATGAATGTAGAGAAAATAAAGTAAGCAAGATAAGTGAAAATGCATTCTCACAAGAAAGAACTACTTGATATTAATTTCATAGCAGAGGAGGAAAACACTATTTGAAACGTGCAATATTATTGTGCGAAGAAACGTGAGTATTTTGTTGATTATACTGAAACAGAAGATTAGTCAACTTTCTTTTTAAACAATTCAAATAAAAATTGTAATCGAGTTTGGCGCTTCAATATAATGTTATGAATGGAACTAAAATTCATTGTAATAATTTTAAAGGAATTTGTTTAAGCCCAGCCTGTGCACATGTGTGATGTACCTTGACTTTCATTGGTGGATTATTGGACTTTCATGAAGTGTACAGTTAGCATGACTGGAAATTGAAAGCAAGTTGAATCTGTTATTTTTATACATTTCTACTAGTTTAGAATTCTCAAAATTGAATGTTTTGAGAATGAAAATGTTTTGTACATTTTGCATTTTGTGACCTCTTGTTAGTTACTGATATATCGATCAAGGAATATTAATCAGGTAAATAGAACTATGTTAGTTCGCTAACATTTGGCAATGTATTATTTCATTATCAGAGCTCTACAAGAGCCTACACAACTTAAAAGGGTTTCCTTACACCGAGCCATGTGAAGAAACCTCTTTATTGTTGACTAAGTTTTGACAATGGAAAAATATATGACAAATTAGGAGATTTACTTGAACCAATATCCAATGAACAACACCCCTTTATGTTATTTGATGAACAGAGAGAGAAATTGAGAATATAATTAGAAAACCATAGAATTTAACCATTTTAAATTTGTCTGCTACGCAGCAGTTAGTAGCCACCACCATGAAAAAGTCACATCAAAAGAAAGAATTAATCACTGGAGTTATCAATAGATAAAAATTAAGGAAATTCATTTTGAAGCTAAAACAACAGAAGGCTAAACCTACAGATTGAATTGTTTGTGAACACTTACATGTTTTTTGATGAGTATTCTGGCCTCGAGTGTAACTATGAAATATAACCACAGCAAAATAAATGGGTTCACATAAGATGCCCATTCTGCTGATTCATAGGTAATGGATCGAGGATCTGTAGTGCAGTTAGTTATTGCCAGACGTGTGAGCCCCAGATACCTGAATATCACAAGGAAAGCATAATTTATACTATTACACAAACCTATTCTTATAATTTTATTTTGAGATGTAAAAATAGTCAGAATTTCTGTGAAAAAAGACTAAACAAATAGCTCTGAACCTGATTCTGCAGTTTGGTTTTGATTTTACGTTTCCCTATTGGTTGTTCACTTATCAAAAAGCTATAGCCGCTTTAATGTTCCATGCATTTTGTCACATTACAATTATTACTGCAGTCAAGCTTTATTCACACCAGTACCTCAATTAAAATAAATCAATTCATTTCACTTACTGTACAGAGAAGACGCTCCAAATGAAGTCAAACAAGTAGAAATTCGGTTTACAATACATCTCCAAACCAAAAAGTGGAAATTAAAAAATGCTAACTTGCCTGCAATAGTTACAATCTCCTTCTCCAATGAGGTCCTGAACCCACTGCAGTTGAACTCCAAAAAGCGCAATGATATGGAGAACAGATATGCAAATGATGATGTACAACATGCCACCAAATGCACGTCCCAGAGCCCGTCCACTGGCCCACCATGTCATACCTCCAATGAAGGTGAGAAAATATACACCTCCAGGAACAGATGGACGCATGGAGCCAGCCGCACACAGAGATATCAAGACCACATACTTTCCTGAGCAATAAAAATAACACATAAATTACTCCTTTCCTCCAAAAATCTATTTTTTTAAACAAATTCATTTAGCAGTTATCTAAAACCACGTGATTCTGTAAATGCATTAGGTCAGAAGATATTTGTCCACTGAAGTATTTTTGACAGATCTATATCCAAAATTATTTAGAGGTAAACATTGCTACAGAAAAATGACAGCTGGAGGATTTTTATACTTCTTCACACAATGTTATGCAATATTACAAGGAAGAGATTACATTTTTCAAGAAAGACTCTCCAGCACGACTCTACATTTTGGACTTATAAAATATGGATTATAATGCCTGATTTTAATCATTTGAATTTTGCATGGGAAACATTTTGTGAAGAAAGAAAAGAAAGAAAAACAAACAAACAAAGGTCTATTCATAAAAAAATTAGATTTATGAAAACCAACAGCAAAATAATATCTTTTTATTTATGATAGAACATGCAAGCCTCTGCTATGACAAAATTTATTAAGTAATGAATGACTTGATAAGGCCTTACCACATGTCATTACAAACTGAGATGTGCTTTGTTCCTTCTTATGAATGGCAGTGTTCGATGGGAGGATTGCAGCGGTGGACGGGAGGCTTCCAGCTGATGCTTCACTCAGTCGGCGCCTTCCGCCCACCGCATTTGTGCACACTACATACACAATCACTGACACAAAGAGCATGAGTGCCTCAGGAGTCAGGGTACGAACAGCATCTACCCAGCCAATGCCATCTAATCTCACCAAACCAATATGTCGCAGCACTCTTTCCAGGAATTCGCCTACACAGGAGAATCATAATTTTATAAAATATAAGAGGAATGGGAACAAGAAAAGGTCTATTGATTATTAACAAGTTTGTAACGTTAAATCAATTGTACATGAAATTTTATTCTTAGCTGTAATGTACCATTCACCAGTACTTTAAAACTAAATGAAAGAGTCTGATATCAGAACATTTTATATAATGACAATATCTGCTTAGGTGTGTGTTTAAGTGTATCTGTATATTTTTGTATACGAGGGTATGTGGCACAAAAACTTCTGAAGTAATGAAGTGATTGCTTCTAAACTTATCAAGAAAACTTTTGAGCATGGGCTTCACAATACCAAAATATTACATCAATTACTTTATAAAGCAAAACTTTTATTACTGGAAATAATTCAACATGCAATGTGGCAGCGGGGCTGAGCGGCACTTCTATTCGGCCACTCCGCGGATTCCACTTTCTTACAATCCAACCCATTTTTATTTTTACCTCTGCAGGACGTCCCCGCAGGGTGGGGGGTCGCGGTTTCGTAGGTGGGGGTTGTTTCTGGAGGAGAGGACGACCACCCGAACCCCAAGTTTCAAGGTGACACTCACATAGTTAGCTTCAAGGCGGAGGCAGTGAGTAGGCGATGCTAAGCTCCGTGTTGCCGGGTTTGCCTGATAACCCCATTAGATGGGACATTGGCGCGCCGACCTTTAGACGGGATTGGGCGAAGGGCTTCTTTCAAATGACCTGGATCCCCATTTATAAAATTCCAGTCGAGGACCATGAACCGCTCTGTCAGGTTGCCTAGGTTTCGGCGGTACTCACGTCGTTAGCTTCAAGGTGGAGGCAGTGAGTAGGCGATGCTAAGCTCCGTGTTGCTGGATTTGCCTGATAACCCCATCAGATGGGACACTGGCGCGCCGACCTTTAGACGGAATTGGGCGAAGAGCTTCTTTCAAATGACCTGGATCCCATTTATAAAATTCCAGCCGAGAACCATGAACCGCTCTGTCAGGTTGCTTAGGTTTCGGCGGTACTCACGTCGTTAGCGTCAGGGTGGAGACAGTGACGAGGCGATGTTGCCGGGAATTGCACGGTAGCCCACGAGTTGGACCCCTGGCGCTTCGACCTTCGGGCGGGATCGGGTCAAAGACGTTTCGGAATGTTCCGAATCCCACAAATAAAAGTCCAGACAGGAAGATGAACCTCTCAGGTTGCCCAGGTTCTGTCGGCACTCGCGGCGATAGCCTCAAAGCGGAGGTAGTGAGAAGATGGGAAGGGGTCCCGAGCCGCACGGACCTTAAATCGGTTGGCCCTCGGCTTCGTCGTGGCAGTGGCCCGAACTCTGGGCAAAGAGGAGGGATCTATCCCGGCGCAAGGGACTGGCGCATTGAATTGATTCCTGGAAAGCCAGTAGCTCTGAGCTAACAGGGCGGCCCAAGCCAGGCATCGAATAGGGAGGGTGCTACATTCTGGCGAGATCCAGATACCGACCTGTCGGCATGCGTACTTGTGCGTCGGCGGGGGTGAGAACAAAAGCGAGAAGCGTAGGTGCCCACACACCGGGGTTAACGCCCCCTGGGTAGAACAAGAAATTGTGTGCTGTGATAAAACACGCAGGATTCACACTTCATCTGCAGGACGAGGCGCCCTTCTGTCCGCAGACGGATTGTGTTCATTTCCACCTGCGTGGTCCTCGATTACCCGCCTGTCCGCTTTTCATTAACGCATTGACGATTTCGGGTGCGTCAAGAGCTAAAGTCATTAATCCCGTAAGTGTAGTGCATATTTTATAGGACGTGGCGGTGATTTTCAATAGCTGGATACATAGATCCGACGCAGATCTCCCCGCCGGCATGCTGGGTTTTCCCATCAAGGTATCTCCCATCAGCGGGGCACCGCCCCCAGCCGGGACAAGCTATAAGCTCGCGAATGGTCTCCAGGCATGTGTGGAAGTGTGGGGCTTGTAAGAGTATGTGTGTAAGTAAAGGGTAGGATAGCACAAGGAATGGGAAGGAAAGATCGCGAACGATCTGTGGTCCGTTTGTTAGGGTGCTGCTCCGGCTCGCCTGGTGTTGATAGGAGAACGTACGGAAAACTACCAATCAGAGCAGTCGGACGCCAGAATTCTCCCCCAGACCGCGGCTGTACTCGACCCGTCTGTGTAGCTAGTGTGTAAAATCCTGCCACCGACGGGACCCTAAACTTAACATTAGAACCTCCCGATCAGAGACCGTAGAATGACATCAATGGATGCCCTGCGCCACCTAAGCCGGTCCGCCAGTTCTTCACTCTTTAGTCAGTCCTTGACATACCTGGGCCATCTAAACATGGGCGTTGATCTGTTGTTCGGAACTGTCAGATCTTCTCTCGTCATCTCCGATATGCAAACGCCTTTGGTGTATTCCACGTCAGCTTTCCCCACTTCGAAGCTTTGGCTTAAGGCCCATTCACAATGCAAGCATGAACATAAGCATGGCGTTAGCATAGCAGTTGGGACTACGTCCATAAGCGGACTCGTTCACAATGCGTTCGCATAAGCATAACACCTAAGACGATAACTCAAAATCGAGAATCGCAAGAGGAGCGATAGACGATCGATAGACGAACTAACGCCATATGGGCCATGGACACCTTCTATACCTCGAAATCGATTCTCACATCCAACCAACTAGAATGTCCAACAGCCAATAGAAACTCTTATTTTGCTTGGGTTTATGTTAGACATTGTGAATACTTCAGTCTATCACTTATGTTAATGTTTACGTCTAAGGGTTATGCTTATGCTTACCTCTGCATTGTGAATGGGCCTTTACAGTTTCCGTACATCCGGTTACACATTACAGTTTCCGTCCGATACATTACAGTTTCCGTCGCGAGGTTTCCGTACATCCCTCGTGTCAGGTCCACAAGGTCGTCAATTTTCCCACTGAAGTCATTTACACCTTTTTTAATGTCAAAGGTATCTCACAACGGCTAATATCCCACTTCTGGCCCAAAACCAGAGTGATAGCGTGAGATATGACTGGTTAGACTTTATTCCAGAAAAAAGTTAATACCAGAATGTAATGAACAAGAACTTCAATAGAATATAATTTTTAATTGTACGCCTGCTGTGATTTATGAGGGAACAAGTCAGACGACCACGCGTGGTCATGAGTAGAGACTGTATTTTTATGTAACTAGTGTACCGGGAAACGCTTTGCTATTGCAATGTATTACATGTCAATCACGTGATTGCTAATCGCGTTTTACGCTACGCTCCGCAAACATTTTAATACTTTCTTGCGAGTATGGGTTTGTTCTATGTCTTGATTTGGACATGGTTGTCAAGTATTTTTAAGAAGTTCTGCCTCAGTTTGGGCATACATTCGCTTTGACACTGTCATGGAGAAATTTGATTTATTTATCCGAGATAACGTTCAAATAATAATTCCGGCTGATATTTTACAATCGCCGGGGCAAATTATGCAGCGAAGACGTGCTTAATACTTGAGGGTGCGGCGGGTTGCTTAGCGCTATTGTTCAGGGGCGCTTGAGTCAGCATAAACGCATAATATCATCAGCGCGCGTCTTCGTACAACAAACATATGCACATTCCCATTGTACTATGTCTACATTCTTCGCACACGCGCAAGTTGAAGTTTTATCGCAATCGGATGAACGGTACGGCAGCACATAAATTACAAACAACTATTGGTTTTTATATTAGATTACATTTGTTTTTCTACATTTAGTTCTCAAAATTGTGATCTTGGTGAATCATGGCAATCGTAACACAATATCAATTTTGTGTCGCACTTTTACATATTTTATACTATAATACGTTCTTTGCTCATATTTTACATATATTGTGGAATAACATATTATTCTACCAATTTTCTTGAATTTATTCCACAAACAATATTAAATTGGTTTTCAAAAATAGGTTTTATTTGAAAAATTGGCGCTTTTTCTTACACAAATTTTGAACTGCGTGCTGACGTCGCGGGTTATGCTGCCACGCGAAGGCGCAGTGAATGTACATGTGATGTTTGGGTAAACCTCCGTCTGCAAGCTTTGTTGTGACAAATGCGGGTGAGCGATGGGAATATTATATTTAGGAGTGTAAAGTATCCGTGTTGCTTGATCTTTAATCCAAATTCCCGCGAAATATTGATTGTCGCAGTCATGAAAAACGAATTACTATTTGCCTTTCATTGACTATCCATGTTAATACAGCGACCACATTGCTCTCGAAAATGAAAATGTATTCGAAACGTTTATCCCGTAAACCAAGCAATATTTTTAATGGTATATTTTATTAATATAATGTCAAATTTTAGAAATTTATTTTGTTTCTTTGTAAATGTTCTGTACATTTAATATTACATATTACAGCTCTATTCATACATTTGTTACATATTTTATCGTTTTCATTTTATATTTATGTACATATTTTCTATAATAAATTAATTTAGAATACAAACTAACACGGAGCTGGCCTAATGCATCAATCCTCATAGACAAAAGTTTTACTGTAAAACTTTCTTCTAATTATATTTTAAAATCACGGTAGGAGAGTACTGTTGTATCCATCACGACCTCCTACGTAAGTCACCAGCATTCATTGATTTTCGCAGGAAGTAAATCTGTGTCCTTTAGTCAGTCATGGGAAGTGTTATCCCATGGGGTAGGCTGAGTAGACTACAGTGATATGTCGCATTCCCAAGTTCTTCATCTGTTTTAAAAGTTTGCTGTTAAATATTTTTTTTTGTCTCTTAAGTACACTTCGGTATAGCAATAGCATTATTTTTATATATATATATATATATATATATAAATTGTCCACACACCATTGAAGATAATGACATGTTCCGTTTTAGCATCTTTCCGGTATTTCCATGCGCTTCCAATAGCGGGCGTTTGTTCCTCTCGCTTATTAAAAAGTACGTGACGGAACCCCGAGAACCATCCCTGAGGCGGCTTCGCTTCGTAACGCCGTCGTTGAAAGCATAGCCACGCGTCGGGTACCGTTTGCAAAATGCGTGGCTTCGAACGAGATATAGCAATTGAAATCTATAGGATGTCCACCATATTTGAAGCTTTTTGAAAGGGCAATCGCCATGTTTTCTGTGGCAACATCAGAATCTTCGCGTAATGAAAAACTCGATCGAAGTGCAAGTAGAAGAGACGTAATATTTAAAACACATTGAGTTTAGTCTAGATTAATTCAAATAATATTAAGTTCAAGTGTGCTTGTTCGTAGAACTTTTTTTTTTTTGAATTTTCTTCTTAGTGACACTTGATTATTTTCAAACATATTCTGAGCCATACAGTTTCGATTATTAATATTCATTATAAAATCTTTAAATTAAATTGATATCGCTACGAAAATGTTGTGCTTAATAATTGGAGACCAAACCGCGGTCTTGGAAAATTTAATACGAAAAATAAATATTTTAAAGAATTTGTCGTAACCGTTTTGATACATTTAAATGGAATGTACAACACCTTTACCAGTCCCTACAGCATGTCAATAATAAATCCGGACTAAACTTAGTTAAAATTCCCTAAAGTCAATTATATTATTAATTAATTAAATATTAATATAATTATCCTTTAGATACGCAATATTACGGTGAATTCCCTCGCCCCTTCTGCTTTCAATACGGTGGTGCAAATTATGTGCCCAACAAGAGGAGAGCACTGTAATGTGTCATACCTACAAACACTACGCCAAAAGCGAGTACTTTTGAGCAAGAGTTCGTAGCAACTATTTATTGTTTTGCTATCAGAAAACATGGCGGCCAGTAATGGGAACTGCTTTAAGCAGGAGCGCTGTATTTCACACAATTCCTCTCTGTATAATTGAAACTCTTTGGTGGCTTCGGAAGACGGCAATGCGATGTTGGCTGTCGTATCGCGGTTTTCTCGTTCGAGCTTCTGTGTCCCCTCCCCAAACCTTGGCTGTTGCCTATTCTGAACCCCCCTCTTTCTTCGATAGGTCTGGGAATGTGGAGCTGACGGCTAAGGGGGAAGATGGCTCGACTGCACCACACGTGGAAGTTTGCCAACAGTCCCTAACTAAATTTTATCCTGATCCAGTATGCCGACAAAGCACATACCGAAAAGACGTGGGTTATCAGCACGGACAAAACTCTTAACTGCCCGCAACTTGTAATGGAGCTCTTAATTTCTTTTCTTTAACGTGGTGAATATGAACTCCACAATAAAAAAACATAGTTTCCAACCTGTAACGCGGTAATTAGAATCAAACAACTTTTGAACACATGGCAAGCTCATCGTTTGTAGCAGCGTGTAAGTTACGTGTAGCACTTAATAGTGAGTAAAAGCGGTATTTGTACTACAGGTAAGCCTACAAAAAGTCCATTTATTTCTCAGTTTTTCAGATTTCTATACGCTAGAAAACGGCTCTAATTTTTAAAAACGTTGAGTACAGTATAATTGTGTTGTACGTGTTCAGTTTTACACTTTTTTTTATACAACTGTATATGACTGTCAAAGGAAGCAGTTCAAAGTTTACAATAATTCTCAAAGAATATTCATTAGGAATCCACATCGTAAAATAGAATACTGAATCATTGTACAGTATGATGTAAACTAGATATATTCAATGGGACAGGGCAGCGCGGGACAGGGCAGCGCGGGCCAGGGCAGCGCGGGCCAGGGCAGCGCGGGACAGGGCAACGCGGGACAGGGCAACGCGGGACAGGGCAGCGCGGGACAGGGCAGCGCGGGACAGGGCAGCGCGGGACAGGGCAGCGCGAAACATGGCAGAGTGGCTCAGGGCAGAGTAGAGAAGGGCAGGGAAGGGCAGACCACACCATGTCAGTCGAGGGAGAGTTTAATACACTATAGACAGAATAGATTAATGAGGTAAATAAATATCCAGACAAGTACAAGGATTCGACTTTAAACTCCCCGTGCTATTTAATCGCACAGGTTTCCACTATTAATAATAATATTAATAATATAAATAATAATAATAATAATAATAATAATAATAATAATAATAATAAACCGAGCGAAGTGACGATGGCGCAGTCGGACGTCTCGTGTAACGAAAACAAGCAAATGCTGTGCGTATGCGTATGCAAATGCTGACGAAGCGCGCAATGCATGATGCAATTGGAGCTAACTGAACATTGCGCGCGAGATGTAGCTCGGCCTATGTAGATCCGGGCAAGAGTGGTAGTGTTTAAGAGAGCCAGATTGCTCTATTGGGCCGTAAAGACGTCCAATAGTTTTAATACAATTTCAACGTGCAAGCTTTTCAATGCACGAATAAATGAAAATGGTGTATTTAGTCGGCTCATTTTTTTTACCCTACTCTTCATACACCCTCCAGAGCTCGCACAAGACGTTTCCTACCCTCACTGAAGCTGCTTCCTCGATACAGTCAATTATTTTTTATTAATTCCAGTATCTTGTACGCCCATTTACATTACGTTCACTACGCAACAAGTATAGTATCTGTTTTGAGGAGGGTTCTGAAGCACACAATCTGAATTTTATGAGCGACTGCAAGTATGAATAACATGAAAGAGACAAATCAAACATCTTCAATTTTTTTAAGTCTCAGCTTTTGTTGACAATTTAGGATCGTTCATTAAACTTCCTAATTCCCTAATATAGATGTATTATTTGTAATTATGAAAATGTGTATAATATGGTTATTCTTGTTAATTTTAATTATTCTAAGAATACGAAAATATTCAGAAATCGTGAAATTTGAAATACTCACAAGGTTCCAGGAAATGTCCGTATGGTGGCATAGACAGAAGCACTATCTGGAAGGACAGTTGTGCCATCGAGGTCAGAAAACTGCATATCATGACAATCTGCAGGTACCAGCCAGTGGCACCTATAAAAATAAAATATTTCCTTGTGAGTGGAATGCATTTGTTTTTAAAAAAAGTACAACGGTTTAATACATTTTTTTCAAATAGTTAATTCTCTCTCATTAATATATTATTTTGAAAAAAACTTAAAATTTATTTCCTACCTTGCATGCTTTTGGCAGATGGAACCCCAACCCATGGTGCGTAGAAAAACAAGAGGAGGTAGATAAAAGACAAAAGGTTCTGCCTGAATACAACACCTAGAAAGAAATAAAAAGCATTAGTGTCACTGCAACAAAGTATTGTAATTGAGGTACAAAACGGAAAATATTTTTATCAAATTAAAAATGTGTCCCGGTGCAACATTGGTCCCATTATCATTGTTTACCCAATTATATTAATATTATTAATACTATAGTTTTTATTTTTAGCCTATACACATCCCTTAGTAGGGCAAGGGCAACTTATATTGTAAGGTTCGAAATTTATAAACTTGTTAGTTACTATTTTTGTCTTCTTTTTTTGTCCACTTCTCACTGTTCCCTTATTTTTGTTGAATTAATTATTATCACATTACGATCACTATTCACTACAACTTTTCACTCTCACTTCAAGGGTATGTTTATTACCAAAGTTTATTTTCGTTTTTTAAAAATAAAATCCGCCTGATAAACAATCAAGATATACTTTTACTTTTTCACTTCACTCGGGGCTCACAGTCTCAGAGCCCCCGTTGCTCTTCTGGTAGAGCGTAATATTATATCTAAAAATAGGTTTGCAGTTTTGTTATCCTTGTCCACAATCGTGCTTGCACACACTGTGCTTGTTGGCCACCCTAAGAGCACAAACTGGTTGCATCCCTCCCCAAAAAATAATGCGGTGAGCCAAAAGTGAGCGATGGATTGAGACAATTAAACACCTGCCCATATTCTGGAAAAATAAACAACTCTGTTCTAGATCATGCGGGTTAGGCAGATAAGAATGTGCACGAGCATATCGTACGGCACGAATGATAATGGATCAGGAAGGGTTGCGCGTTATATGGGATGGATGGCACGACTTCACGAAAAAAAACTGCGTTCCCTCAAAGGTCCGTCTCCAACATTCTCGCCCAGAGAGTAGCATCGTGTTAGTATCTCCCTCCTTTCCCCTCACGGATTGGGTAGTGATCCCGGGCGCATCAACTGATAAGGTAATTAGTCCCAGAAGTGTAGTGCATCGCAGGAGGTGATGACTATCTTCCCCCCTCTGAATGGTGAGATGCGGGCAGACCCGCACGTTGACATCCAACAACGAGGCACCATGTGTGGTAATGTAGTGCATGTGAGTGTGTGTAAGTGTAAGTAAGGGGTGAGGATATCAGAAGGAAGAGGAAGGGAAGATCACGCGATGACGGTGGCCCGTTTGTAACGGTACTGCTCCGGCATTCGTCTGGCGTTGATCCGGGAAACCACGGAAAGCTATCGATCAGAGCAACCGACCGCTAGATTTCTACCCCAGTCAACGGCTGAATTCGACCTAGCTAACAAGGTAGTGTCGAAAATCTAGTAATCATCGGGACTCCCAACCCTACACGGAAAAAAAATAACAGTAGCAGTTACCAGTACCAACAAGTTTCCTTGTTACAGTATCACGAATTTGGTACATTGCAACTGTTATTTTTTTTCCGTCTACGATCTCCCGGATTGATACACTGCAGTGACATCAGATGATGCCCTGAGCCACCTTTGCCAATGAGCCCCCTCGCGGCATGTTCACCAACGGACACGGAGAGCGGGTGTGCGCCTAAAGGATTGATCAAACTGCCCACTAGAGAGCGGTGCCAGCGCCCAGAATCAATAGCGCGAGACGCCGACTGTTTCTCTCTTCTGTTTACCAACAGGTACTGCCCGTCGGCGCCCGCCCCGGTCCCTAACCTCACAATTTTGAAGATCGGAATTTCAAAAACGTTAAAGAAACATCGAAGGTCATTTCGCAACAAGGAATTGAAAAATCTATCAACAAATTAGTTCCAAAAATAACCTAACCTAATCGTTTTAAATATAGATCCAAAAGAAACTTCACAAAACAAATATGGATTCTTTTTACATTCATGATGTAGAAAATATCAAATATGCATATATTTACAATTTAAAGCACATTGACTAATCATTATTCAAAGCACTTTCGCTCGGCACAACTGGAAAAATATATTAACTCCATAATTAAGAACCGTACAGACCTTTGAAAAATTCAAAATCATTTTCAAAATTCAACGCCTTTTGATATAGCCTTTCCCCAAGACAAAATACCGAAACCACATTGAAAAGCTTCAGCATACACATTGAAAACATCGATGCAATTTCAATCACTAAAAGTTGTTTAAAAAAAACAACAATTTCAATAAAAAAATATTTCAAATTATGCGATGTACGCCTGCCATTATAGTTTCCACTAATGTGTTCAGACACATGCGAACATCTCTTACTACCGAGAAATGAATTTTCAGTAGAAATGAAAGTATAGTAATAAAATTAAAATACAAATGTGGTCCTCATAAACTGACAAAAATACGATAAGGTTGCTTTCATTTTAGGGCAGCAATCTTATCGTCTTCTCCTGTAGTAGACTTGTCCTGTTCTATGCGAAATTAATGTATGTTATTTTATTTAACTTAATAAAAGCGATTATTTTGCCCAGAGAGTAAATTAAAGACTCTTTGCAGCTTTCCAGTAGCACTATCAAATCAATAACACTATCAAATATCAGTCATAATCGAAACTGTTTCGTTGCTTTTGTATTTTTCCTAAGTTCCTCGGCATCAAACGAAACTAGAGACATTTCCCACATCTCCAGAGGATGCATAGTTATCTTATAATTTTTGCGTGCATTGAAAATTACTAGTATAGATACCAAGGCGATGCAGAGATACTTTATCAACTATATTATATTATCACGGGCGACAAATGAACTCTTTACTCTCTAGCCTTACTATGTACTTTCGGAGTAAAGAGAAAGCATTGTAATGCTGCGGCAGAAAATCATGGAATTGAAAAAAATGGATAATTCTTGTCCCTGTATGTAGTAAAGTAGTTCATCTACCACGTTGTGTAGTCAGAATTCAAAAAACTCATTTTTGAATTCTTGATACCGAAAAATTGATTCACGAAAAAACTGTCCATCTATGGTCAACGCCCGCGCCTGAACCATTCACACGATATTCTCTGATCTTATCTAGACGAATTCAATCTGGTTCTGCGAGTGTGGATCAGATATTTTCTTTGGGAGGAGGGTCGTAACATGACGCCTTAATAACATTTTAAAATTTTCTGAAAAACGGCTGCCTATGTTTTTATTGAACTGTTTCATCGGATAACTCTGAGATCGCTTAAAACAATTACGCTCAGGTCTCATTTTCGTTGAAATCTCTAAATATTTTTTAAATTTCCAAAGTTCAATTATTTTTTGGCGTCTTCCTTCAACTACAGTACTGAAGATACAGATTTTCTCCTTATTGGAATCTGTTCTTCTAAATAAGTAAGTTAATGTAATTTATAATTTTTCAACATGGTTCCAAATCTTTTCTTTAACTTTTTTCAAACAGCGCAAAGGGCGCTTAAAAAAGGCGCAGGTCTAATTTTCGTTGAACTCCGAATTTTCGAAAATTGGAGTAGTTACAAATAATGTGAGAAAGTATGTGTTGTTGCACCACTAGTTTATAGGATGATTCTACGCACATTATACACTTGCCCGTTCTTTTTGGCCGCCGTTAGTTGAAAGGACTGGCCGCAATTCCAGAATTAGAGAAGAACTTTGCTCGCCAGGTATTTCCTGTAGCGGGACACCGCCCCACCAGGAAGAGGTCCTGTCTCCCGCAAGGTAGTGTAGCGCATGTAAGAGTCAAAGTTAGGTGAGGCGCGAAGCCAAGTACGACGAAGGGAAGATCGTACGCATATCGCATACCTTTTGTTAAGGTGCTGCTCCAACATTCCCCTATCGCAAATCGACCAACGAGCGCGGCCGGCCGCTAGAATTCTAATCCAGACACAGGTTGCATTCCGTATCTAGTGCCTAATATCTGCCACCGGCAGGAGTCGAACCCTAGAACATCCCTTTCGGAGAAGCTGTAGCGGCAACGGATTCAGTCACTGAGTTAACTGAGTTATTCAATAAGACGGTATGAAAACGAACTAACCGTCAACAAGCGTTTCCCCTCAGCTGCGCCTCCGTCACCAAGCCTGTCCCTTGATCGATGGCGGCGCCCTGTCGGAAGCCGACGGGGGCGGCTGCCGCCGTGCCGCCGCCGCCGCCGCGCGGGTCTAACGAGGCCCCTAGAGCCCATCGCGGGAAGGGGGCGTGGCCCCTCTGGTGCGATATGCAAATGTACGCGGGGGCTCTGCGGGGGCCCACAAACACACACGCTCACGCTCACGGGGCTTCGTCCGCACTGTTCCCCTTCACGGCTCCCCGCACCTTGGATTAGTTGATTGGTGATCCTGAGCGTGTCAACTGCTAAGGGCATTAGACGCGTACTTGAGTGCATGCTTTTTTTTCTTCCTTGGGGAAGAGGGGTGGCGGTGATCGTCCCCCTATTAATGGTGTGACCCGGCGCCGGCCTACCGTCACCTAGAAGGGTTTTCCCCCAATCAAGTATCTCTCACCGAGACACCGCCCCAGTCGAGTCAAGCAGCTCTAGCCGGTCCCATGGCATGTGTGGTTGTGTAGTGCATATCAGTGTGTGTAAGTAAGGGGTGAGGATACGTCTAGGACGAGGAAGGAAAAAAAATCGCGAGCGGTCCGTGGCCCATTTGTTGAGGTACTGCTCCGGCATTCGCTTGCCGATCGCAGACACCACGGAAAACTACCGATCAGAGCAGCCGGTCGCTAGAATGCTCCTTCAGACAGCGCCCTAGCTATCTAGGCAGTATAAACATCCTGCCACAGTCGGGGCTCGAACCTATAACCTCCCGGTCAGAGGCACTGCAGCTGATGCCCTGAGCCGTCTCTCCCGGTCCGAACCTACGAGATTCCTAGCAGTGTATTTAACAGAATACTGGCAGTGCTGCTTGTTCCAACAGACAACTAAGACAGGTAAACACCTCGAAATTGTAAAAAGTCATCCACGCTGATATACTGCCAGATTCGAAGGATACTGACAACAGCGAAGGTCATTGATATCAAACATTTTAAAAAGTGTTTTGCGAAATTTATAAATCCTACATCTACGCAGTACTCGAGGGCAGAAAATCAAATAGAGTTTTACAAATGTCCATCACATAAA